AGTCGAAGAAGGAGAAGCCGGTGAAGGAGATGAACTATGAGATGAATATCAAGTATTATCTGCGGGTGCGTGGCTATGGTCAGTCATTCAGGATGCCGCAGGAGTTCATCAAGAGAGGCTGGCGGAAGACGGTGTTTGCTCGGCCCAAGGATGGCGACCACGATGAGTGGCGCCTGTTGGTGCAAGATGTTCCCGCGAAGATGCGGGTGGACTATCCGAAGGATAGCATTGCTGTGGTGCTCTTGCAACCACCGATGGCCGAAGTTGAAAAACGAGCAAAGGGGAAGTCGCGAACAGCCAGCGTAGTCACAGGTGCACGCAAAAGCCCCCCATTGAGGGAATGTACGGTGCTTTCTCCTTCAAGTGATTCATCGTTGGAAGCAACAGCTTTGATGGCGATTGGTGAAAGCCACAAAGGAACCATGAGTAAGGGACAGAAGAGGGAATTCGTGAATGGGCTTCGCACCATGAATGAGAGGGATGCCGATTTGCAGTATGTTCTGGGTAAACGGGACATGCCGTTGGTTTCCCCGGTGCACACCGTTCTCATTACATCGGATGGTCCATGTTGCCGTACTCATGGGATCCAATGTGTGTCGGTCGGCAAGGACGCCCACAGGGCTGACCTGGCAGCCATCAAGAAGGAGCTCGACAAAGGCGGCGCATGCACGGTTGTTGTGGCCATTGAGTACTCTGACTGGTCAACTTCCTTGAATCACTCGGATATCATGGACATGGTGATTTCGCATTGCGAGTTGGTAGGAGGAAGATATTTGGAAGTGGATCTTGCAGAGACAAACAGGTGGTCGCAGCACTCCATTCATCTGTATCCGGATTTGTGTGTTTCAGACGTGGGGTATGTTACCAACGACATTTTGCTGGGAGAAGCATTCGAAGCATGGGTGAGTATGAGTTACCCGTCATATGTGCCCAGGTCAATCGGTGAGGTTTGGACTCCGGAGTTCCTGGACTTCCTGAGCGAGAAGGCACATGAGGCTTCGGCACAGGACATGTTGTCGGTTGGTTTCCCCTGTTGAAATGCAAGAAGATGAACAGGAAGAGGCAGTCACCTTTGACATGCCGGATGATCCTGATTCGGATTCACAGAGGGATGAAGTGTTCAATCCTGTGTTGAAAGGAAATGCGGAGATGGCGGAATGGGAAGTGCTTGATAGCATTGACATTCCGGATTTGCCAGCCAAGGAGCAAGAAAGGAGGAAAGCCTGGCGGGCGATACCGCAAAAGGTAAGGGTGGCAGTGCGACGCTTGCACGGGCAGTTTGGCCACCCGGCGCCGCGAACGTTGGAGAGCTTGTTGCGAAGCGCGAAGATCGCAAAGGTATACATCGAAGCACTCAAACTGCACAGATGCCCAGATTGCGAGAACAGTGCGCCGAAGAAACCCACACACAAGACCATGTTGCCGCACAGGTACAAATTCAATCACACCTTGGGGATAGACTTGTTTGACGTGTCGGATGCCAAGGGGGACAAGTATTTGGTGCAGAACATGTTGTGTTGTGGCACAACTTTTCAGCAGGTGAAGGCCCTAAGAAAAGGGAAGGGGCAAGCTTCAAGTGCAGAATGTTTGAGAGCATTGGATAAACGTTGGTTCGCCTGGGCAGGACATCCGTCAGAGCTGGTGTCGGACCGAGGATTGCACAACCGAGGAGTTCTGGCGAAGTACATGTCGGCGAATGGAATCCAAGTGTTTCACGCTCCGTTGCAAACGCCTGAAGCCATTGGACGTGTGGAACGCCATGGAGGAATCATCAAGGCAATGTATAGGAGAGTGTGTAGTGAGACGCAACCGGTCGGCATTGATCAGGTGAACCAAGTGCTGACGCAATGTTGCCGGATCAAGAACTCCATGCACAGAGTGGGCGGCTACAGCCCATCACAATGGGTTCTTGGTACATGCCCGAGAGGAGCACCTAGCTTCATGGATGCAGAAGGTTGGACCGACCTTGGAGCGATTGGGGACAGGATTGCTCCCGATTCCATCTTTGCACTTCAGCACAAAGCAAGAATGGAAGCAAAGAAGGCATTCGTAGAACTCGATTGCAGCAAGCGCGTGCAAAGGGCGTTGCTCAGGAACGCGCAGCCGATTTATGAGAACTACGAGGTCGGGGACATCGTGTGTTTTCGCAGAGATTTCATGGGGAAGACCCAATGGAGCCCGGCAAGCAGAGTGATCGGAAAAGAAGGTGACAAGAAGGTTTGGGTGTTGTGTGAAAACATCCCAGTACTTGTTGATGGGAGAAATCTGAGACCGGCCAATGATGCTGAGGCCCTAGGGAGGTTGATTCTTCATGGACATGACATTGTGCCAGAGGAGATCATCAAAGAACACGGGCAGCAGGCGTTCGAAGACGCGAGTCTGGTCCCAGTTCCCGAAGGTGAAGTTCCAAGTGACCCGGAACCGGAAGAGACTGAGGGATCCGGATTGCCGAGAATCCCGGAACATGGGTTGCTTGAAGGTGAGGATGAGCCTATGAGAGCTGCGAGGACACGGGATGCCGAAATCGCAGGCCGAAACGTGAGGCCGCGAGTTGAAAGAACATCTCCTGTTTTGGAGCCAGATCCTGAGAGAGGGACGCTTGGCAGTGAACCGCAGTCCAGACGCACGAGCGCACAGTTGTTGGATGATTTGCCCGAATCCATCAGGAGCCACTTTGAGCAGATGAGTGGGCAACAGAGTGCGAGCTCGGAGGACGCAAACATGACTGCCAATGTGGCGTCTGGCCATGTTCATGTGAGTAGAGAGAAGTACGTGGCATTCATCGCAGATAGGGTTAGTGAGACAGAGAACGCACAGAGAAACAAGAATGCGGTGCAAGAAAGGTTGCTCGTATATGACGAAGCAAGTGAGGAGGTGCAAAGTGCATTGACAGAGGCCAGAGCGGCCGAATGGGAGAAATTCCAGAAGTTCGGAGCAGCTGTTCCCATTGACGGAGAAGAACTGAGAGGTCTGTTGGATGCAGGTCATGTTGCCATTCCGTCAAGATGGGTCGAGGTTGACAAGAACGATTTCCAGAGAGGTCAGCCTGGGTATAAACCCAAGTACAAGAGCCGTTTGGTGATATGCGGAAATTTCGAGGATCGTGAAGGACTTCGAGGTGACGCACCAACTGGTGACGTCGAGGCTCACCACATAGTATGTGCTTGGGCAGCAGCTCATCAGGTGGCAGTGAAGTCCTGTGACATCACCAGCGCATATTTCCAAGCCCGAGAGCTGGATCGCGTGTTGCTCATGCGGCAGCCACGGGGAGGACTTCCGGACGTTTCCCCAACGGCGTATCTACTGGTTAGGAAACCGGTCTATGGCTTGACTGACAGCGGTCGGGGTTTCTGGTTGCAGGTGAGTACGGATGCAGCGGCATGCGGGTTGACATCGAGTAGGATTGTTCCTGCGTTCTATTACCATGTTGCGGATGGCAGAGTAGATGCAGTGATGACCACTCACGTGGATGATTTCTTGTATGCCCACACTGAAACCGGAAAGGTTACGATCGAGAACTTGTTGAGCAAGTTTGTTGTCGGAAGCAGCGAGGAAGGCAATTTCAGGTATTGCGGAAAGCGCATTAGCCAAGAGAAGTATAGCTCGATCAAGATCGACGTCGATGACAACACTAGGAAGCTGAGCATGATCAAGATCGAGGTAGGCAGAAAGTTGACCGATGCAGTAAACCCATTGGAACTGTCGCAGTTGAGGTCAGTGGTTGGATCTCTTTCGTGGATTGCCAGACAGGGACGCCCTGATCTTTTGTACAGGACGTCGAGGTTGCAGTCTTTGACCAAGGCAGCCACTGTGGCTACCTTGAAGGAGGCCAACAAGACCGTCGAGCTGGCGTTGGAAGGCATTGGGTCGAGTCTGTATGTCCATGCGGGAAGACTTGACTGGCAAAATGTCGGTATTCTGACAGTCACGGATGCGTCATTTGCAAATGAGGAGAACCATAAGTCACAACAGGGGCGTTTCCATTTCTTGGTATCCAGTGAACAGGCAAGGGATCAGAATTGCGAAGCGTTTGATGTAGTGCCTTTGGGATTTGCATCGAGCACGATAAAGCGAGTCTGTCGTGCAACTATGCAGGCAGAGACGTATGCATTGCAGAATGGGATCGAGAGCGGAGACAAGCTACGAGCAGTGATATGTGAGACACAGGGACGGTTGCAGAATTTGACTGGTTGGTACGAGACTATCAAGAAGTACGTCCCGCACACATACTTGAGTGATTGCAGATCACTTGTGTCCCATTTGAAGACAGAGGTTCCACCGAAGATAGCAGACAAGAGACTATCTATCGAGATAGCAGCCATCAGACAATCATTGTGGAATGAAGACGGAAACAGCAGTATCATTTCCAGAAGGAGGAGATCGGATTCGCTGGATTGCAACTGCTACAATGGTTGCGGACTGTTTCACGAAACCAATGAAGGCGGACTTCATGTGGAAGGTGATCAACACTGGAGTTTATGTGGTTGAAACAGATCCGAATGAGAAGTCGTGAGAACAATGTGACAGAGTGCCACATCTTTTTTTGCTGTGAAGCGGTTCAACACCTGAAAGCAGGTTGAGTGTGAATTCTCCCTGTAATTTGTATAGATTGAAGCCAGGGTGTTGAACATGTTGTGCATGACCGGGCCATTCTGGTACGAGGGCCCTTGAGTCATAGCGCTCGAAGCGAAAAGTAAGAGCCCGATTTGCTTGCTACATTCACAAGTGTCTAACAGGTGCACCTTCCAAGTTGGTTGAACAAGACTTGGTTGACGTTGGAAGGGGAGCGACAATTTGAAATTTAGCAGTTGAGTGGTTGGATGTCAACCAAACCAGAGTAAGCAAAGATGCAACATGCACAAGGTAAAGTAATTGGTTAATGGTTCTTCCCGCAAATGAGTTGTTGTTAAGGGGGGCAATATTAAAAAAATGAGTTGTTGCTAAGGGGTAAAAAATAACATGTTTCCCACCAACGCTAGCTACCGGGGGCATCCATGCAGGTCCTGGACTCCATCACCAAGGCCTCCCAGACGCTGAAGGGAGGCGCAGGTCTTAACGAGCGGAGCGCGTTTGCCGACTCGCCCTGAAATCCGAAATGAGAGACAGGGAGAGAGGGAGAGAGAGTCAGGAGAATCGCGAGAGCTCAGCTTTGTTGTTGTTGTTGTTGTTTTGTTTTGTTGCTGTGTTGTTGTTTTGTGTGTGTGTGTGGGTTGATGGCCCTTTTTTGTGTTTCTTCGCGAAGTTAAAAGTTGATGCTTGGAGGCTAGTCTAGTTTCCATGCGGCACCATGGTTTGCTGTTGCCCTGGCGACCTTATTTGCTCATGAGCCAGCCAACAAACGGGCATCATGTTTTGTCCATGGCAGCTTATCGTTGGCATAATTTTGCCTTCAGCAGACCATGCCTCTGACCAAAGGAACTCGGCCTGCATGTTGTGTCCCATGCTTGGCTCATTTGCGCCACAGCTTTCATTTCCCGGTCGCAAAGGGTTGAGGCCCCTAAGCCATTGCGTTGACCTCGATCGCAGGTGAGAGAGGTAAGGACACCAGGCGCCGAATTGTTCTACTCGGAAGGCACCGCATTTTCCTTCACACCCATGCTGAGAATTGGGAAAAGTCCATGCAACCCGCTGGATCTGCCAAAAGTCTTGTGAGCTTCGAGGGTAGAGTCCCAGTCCCAGGCTCACAAGCTGAGCTGAACGCATGGGGGTCGAGGGACCGTTTCGAGTTGTGTATCTTGAAGTGGGAACGACTAAGCTAGTTGTTACATGAAGGGTTGTGAGGTGTCTTTTCTTTTGCTCGGTCTTTTGCTTTCGGTAGAGGGAGCTTGTACTTGAATTGTTGCCAAACTCAACCGAGCTTGCTTCGTTTTCGAGTTTCTTTCATTTTCCCTTTCACCCAGCAAGCGGTTTTCAATTTTCGTAGGGATCGGGAGGGAGTCAAAGAGGCTTCAGGAGAATAGCCAGGAAGCCACCTGCAAACTAACATGGGGTCTTTTGTTAGTGGTATCCCTTTTTGGTGTTTGTGTCAAAGGGAAACCAAAAAGGAAAGCTGAGGCGATTTTAGGTGTCCAAATCTTTTAGAAAAAAACAACACCCAATGTGGAGCCGAAGAAGAGCGCCGGCCGATTCTCAGGCGCCGCATTCCTCCAGACGGCCAACGCCAGGCTCCTAAGCGGTGACGTGACCCCAAAGGAAACCCACAGAGATGCAGATCCAGACCCTCTGGCGCATTTCACGTCATAGGTTTGCACAGTTTTGCGATCTTGGCTAGAGGTAAAACGAGCTCACCTATGATACAAACGCATATATATATATATATATGTCTGTGCGTGTGTCTATGTCGAACTTGGGGATGCCTCACAGCCAGTCAGTGAAAAAAAGTTAGTAAATTGCCCGGATAGGTTGCCCTGAACCTAAGATGCGCTGCCACAATTTTCCCCTGAGGCGTTGTTTGATGCCCCTTAGGCTTTTGCACCCATTTTCCATTGAAATGGAACCTCCTGGATTTGCCGTCAGAAGACCCCCTTCTCCCTCTAACCCTTTTACCCTGCATACTTTTCGGACCTGGCTCCGAAATGTGTGACTTGCCCTCTCTCAAGCCCACAGACCATGTGCAAAGACCAAACTCCTTGTCGCACTCTCTCCCTGTTTTGACGGGTTTGCCACTACCAAGATGGATTCCACCACCACAATCCCTTCTTCTACAGGGGTCACTGGCTGTGACGCTGGGGCCATTGTTTGCTCACACTGCAAGAGCGGGTTTTTGTCTTTTCTCCCTTAAGCCTTAAGCGAGATGTTTTTTCCTTTGGTGGGCAACTGTCAACGGGTGCCCCTTTTTTTTCTCCCTTGGCAAGAAGCCATTGCCTATTGCAGGCCTATTGAGCTATTTGGGTGTGTCTCGTTTCCCTTTAAACCTATCCAAAAATTCGGGTACTTGTCATGTTAAAGATGACATCCATATATTTGAACTACTAGTACTGCCCTTTTACTTCTTTTTCTTGATGGTTCCGCTACTAAAATAGACTTCAAACCACTGGAGGACCTAGACTATATATCAACATTCGGGTACTTTGCACGTTAAGAAAGGCGCACACACACATATATATTATATATAAAACACATATATATATATATATATACTGATATATTTGGACTCTCTCTCTCTCTCTATATATATATATATATCTATATTCGAACTATATGTCAATCATATCATATTTTTCAGGGGCTTCGGTTTCCCGGCGCGAGACGCGACCAGCTCCACGGCCCATTTCCCGCAGGATGCTGCGGGCCATCCAGCAGACGCCCCGCCTGGACGCCTCCGAGAAGCGCCAAATCACGCCCGGACGGCCCAAACCGAAACTGGGGGGTCTCAACCGATTTGACTTTGCAGGGCTCCTTGAAAGATACATCTTGCCCATTTGAGACATGTTTTTTTCCACCAAAATTAAGGGAAGCCACCATTGACAAGGCAATGTTCAGGTGTGTAATGTAAGGATCCCTGATTTGGTGCATTTTGCCAAGGGATGTTAGGACTTTAACTTTTTGCCAACTAAGTGGTTTTCCGTACTAAACCACGAAAAGTTAAACTTTTAGCAGGGGAGCAGAAAGCAACCGAGTTGGGGTCCCCTCCCAAGAACGGCGAAACATACCGTAACCCCAGCATGTGTTGCACTGGCAAATGGAAAGAGAGAGTAACACCTGCCCCCGGTGGTTTGGTTTTGATCCATACCCAGCAAGAAGTGAGTGAGAAACAGAATCATATTCATCACGTATATACCGCCAGATGCGGGCAAAGCTTTGCCGGCTCAAGAACTCGTGCATCTCAGGATAAGATCTGCTCATTTTGCAGCTGAACATGAGCTCATCATGAACTCAATTCCTGAATGCCGGGATTTTGTCAGGTCTTTTTTTGGTTGTTTACAAAAGGGCCCCAACAACCAATGAGGGCTCAACAAAATGGGTGGTTTACTTTGGTTGCCCTTTGACTCACTCCCTGATTTCTTAGACTTTTCTACTTTCTGGCCAAAACCAATTTTCGGGTGAACAAAGACTCCTGGACTTTGTTTTGGCCCGTACATTCCATCAAAAGATGAGTGAATAGCATTTCCAAAGGAAAACTGGGATGTGAGTTCCCCAGAAAAAACAACACACAATTCCCCGCGTGGTACGGGGGCGGCTTGTTTTCCTCTCAGTTTCCCTTTCACTGCACGTATTTTTATGCGCTTGCGTTGGGCATCTTGGGCGGCCCTACTGATTTGCTTCAATGGGGAATTCTTTCTAGGTCCCCAGTAGTGCCCTTTCTCACCCTTTTTTATTGGGAGCGTTCCGCCACTAACACAGACTACAGAAAACCTCTAATCTACATCTCTACTGGAAAAGTACCAACTTATTCTAACCTCTCGACGGGACCTAGCTTTGCACTCAAGCCTCTTCCAAATCCCCCGCAACCATCGGGCGAGGTCCCTTCTGTCGGGCGAGGCTGTGAAGATGGCGCCTTGCCCAGATGGTCGGTCAAGCGTTGCCCGGATGCCCCCCCCCCCCCCGAACATGAAGCCCTTGTTTTTATAATTCAACTTGAATCTTTAATGTACATATTATTTACCGAAAGAGCCTTTTGGAGTTTGCCCGTAGTTTGAAGATTGCCCAAAAGGAAGCTCGAAAAAGATGTCGTCAAGTCGTGTCACGAGTTGCCCCTGCTTCAGGCAGAATGGGTTGTGCAAGATTCCGCTGCACCCACAGCAGTTGGCATAGTCAATAAGTTTCTAGACACTTATCCAACTATGCAACACTTCCTTGCAACACGTCCTGGCGAGAGGGTTGTTTTGCAGGGTTCCGTATATCCCCCATGTCAGAATGACCCCTCCAAGAGATACATCATCTTCGACTGACCCAACATGTGATGATTGAGACCACCCAAGGGATCCACAGCCGCGTCAGGATCCGGACTACGTGATGGGCATTCTGAGTGACGCTTGGCCGCACCTGAGCTGGGTTCGAACCAGGTTGCGTTGAACCAGGATTTATTGTGGTTGTCGGGTTGAACTCAGGATGGCACCAAAATCATTCCCTTTGACTACTAGGAGGGGAGATATATATATATATATATAATATACACTGTATATATATATACATATTCATGTATATTTATATTTATGATCCCGTTGCCCCTCGACCCCAGCCCCCCCCCTCAATGGTATGGGTCCATCCAGGGGCGGGAGGCGAGCTCCCCTCCCATCCCACAGCAGGGCGGGCAGCTGCGCACTGCGCTAACCCCAACCCCCATTCCCACAAGAGGGTCAGGGGGGGGACCATGGACCCCCCCATCCATCCCACAGGGGGGAGGAGGGGGCTTGTATCGTCGCACTGTGCCACCTTCTTGACTGAGCATGACCATTGGGGGGGCCAAGGAAGACTGGAATATATAAAGACAAATATATATATATATATATATATATATATATATGTGAATATGTATATTTTGAATTAGAGGCTCCCTTTGTAAATCACCGTTTTTGGACGCATCCTTTAAGGAACCACACTGAAAACCGACCATACGCTTTACCTCGCAGGGTATGAAGGAGGACACCACTGAGAAGATCAGCGCGGCAAGCAAGGCTGGGGGGCAGGTAGGTTTGAAGAGGGACAAGTTCATCGGATTTGGCCTATTTTCCGGGCACCCTTACTGGATGGGTTGGAGATTTGAACCTGGTATTTGAACCTGGTTTTTGTACAGGGTAAATGGGAATCATCCCTTAACCACCAGAACTGCCGGACCCTACATTTATGGAATACCTTTTCTTCACCCCGACCAGCCCCACCCATCGCAAAGCCCGTCCAGGCTTTAAGGTGTAGGCAACGCTCCAACAAATCAATACGCAGAGAGCACAAGGGCATTCTCCATGTGCCTCTCCCTTGGGCAGAGATGTGTGTTCGGGGATGTCACCTCATCGGACCAAGTTGGAACCGACCAGAGCATTATGTGGACCCCTGGTTTGCAAACGAAAACTGTCTAGACAGGAATCAGGGTGTTCCCCTGGAGAAGGGAATTCTCCTGGGTCTATGAATCAACTTGGCCCAACTAGGGTGACGGCCAGTGACCCCGTGGTGCACCCCAGGCACCTGCGACAAGTTGTTTGACCACATTCAGTGGCTTGCCATTTGCAGAGTTGATGTTTGTGGCTTTCTCAAAACGTACCGGGCATGTTCTTTTTGGGGGGTTTTGGGCAACAAGTCAAGACGGACTCTTTGGGGTTTGTAGGAAGGACCCCCCTCAAGGCTTGAAGAAACAGCCTCAGACAGGGACTTGGGTTCTCTGCCGGGCGTTCCGTGCAGGTGGAGGCGGATGCTGTGGAGAACTTTGGTGAGCTGGAGGCGAGACCTCACCTCACTTCCCCGGTGTTCTAGCTGGGAATGAGAAAATTGGAATGACCCCCAGAAAAACGAATTCCCCTATATGGCTCCCTTTTAAGGCAATCTCCTTCAGGTGCAACTTGTCATTCCCTACTCACCAGCAAGTTTTCCTGGACTGGAGGTGACTTTTTGGGCTTGGACCATGTTAGTGAATCAAAGGTTTGGAGATTTGGTTTGGCCAATCCACTCAGGAAGTGAGTAGGGTTTCATCCATTTGATGCAGGGATTCAAAACCCCCTTTTCCTACCCCCACGCCAAGATCCCTCCCAAACACATGAGCCTGTTCAGACCGAAAGCCAGGGGGGCTGTTGATCCTATGATACTGCGAGGGGTACCCCTAGTCGAAACAGGAGTGTTTACAAAAGAAGGGCACCGTTCTTTCCCCGAAACGAGTTTGTCACAAAATATGGCAGCACTTTCAAAATTGTGGGTTTCTCGTGGTAGAGGCTTCCGATGCTTGCCCGAACCCCAAAAAACAGGAGCTGATGAGAAGGGCCGCCATCACGCATCAGAAAGACCCTTCATGGGGTGAGTGGGTTTTTCACATAGGGACTTTGTTTCAAACATATGCTTGTTGCCACCAAAAGTATCAAACGTCCCCCCCCCCCCCCCCCCCAAATCCCAGAAAATGAGGCGGGGATTTTCCCTTCAAAGCCACCCCAAGCTAACAGGGCACTCCTCGCCCCCCCGTTTTTTTTCTTTCGTTCGGCGGATCGGCAGGCCTCCAAGAAGACGGAGATCTCAAGCCTTCTGGAGCAGCTGGAGAGGACCTAAAATAAGCGGAGAAACCAAAAAGCAAAAACGCGGGACCAAACTTTGCGAGTCCCAGACCTCGAAGCGCGCGCTCCTTTTTGTTTTTGTTTTTGGGGGTGGGTGGGTTTCTACGGCTCAAAGCTGAGCCCCCAGGGCTCAAGCCCCATGAAAAGACTGGCCGTGGGGCCCAATTTGGGTGAAATTCCCGATAGGTAGATGCTGATGGTAATATTACCCGCCTGTGATTTGATGCTTTGAATTCGAGTGCGGGCCCGGTATATGTCTCATTTGGCAGCCCTGAAAAGAGGCGCCTTTGGGCAACGTCCCTCCTTGGCACTTGGGGGGTACGGCTCTCCTTCGGTCCGGCATTTTTCTGACACAGATAGCCAGGTGACCATGATAGCCCAACACACCTCCCCCGGGCACCCCACCCCGGCCTTACACAAAACGTAAGGCCTCGCAACGTGTTTCTTCGGCCCAGTCAGGGGTTACCAAGCCTGGTCCGCCGGAGCCCTGTGATGTACTGCGATTTATGGGTTTGGTGGGTCATGTGGGTTTGGTTAATCTGCCGCGAGCTTTGCTGTGGAGAACATACATTTTGGGATAGGAGAACCGAAGGAACACCGATTTAGGCTGCGCTAATTCCGGCCTAGGCAAATGTTCGGCCCTATGAAAAGTTCGGACGTTTCGGCCCCCTTGGAGGTTCAAAAGCCGTGGATGACCCAAATCCAGGGGTGGATTCCCCCAGAAACGAAAAAGCAACCCGCTTTTCACGAGGAAACAAACAAAAAAACGTGCTAGATCAAACGAAGAACCTCGGCATGAACCGCCCCCCGCGTTTAGCCCAGAAATCTGGCAGACTTGGGTCCGTTTGCAGCGACCTTTTGGAGCTTCCGGCTCTTAGCTGGGTGGTCAAAAACGGGTACCTGTTCTTTTTGGGCCCTGGTTTTCTGGGGGCCCCGGCCCTTAAAAGCAATCCAAGGAGAAGGGTCCCCGTAGTTTCTGGGCCAAATGGCGGGCGCCCTCGCCGAATCTGATTCGACGTCTAGGAAGATGCGGCGCGTGGGGGAGCTGAAGGTGGAGATCGTGGAGATGGAGCGGTCCATGGCGGGCGCCGGCCAGTCCCTCGAGGAGGAGCGAACTGGGGCTTTTTGAGGTCTGAGAGGGATTCGCTGAAAGGAAGCCATAGGAAATGGGAAATGGATGGTGTACAGGGGTCATTCCAACTCATTCCCTTGTTTGGATGATTAGATAATCTTCACTCAGGATTTGAACCCCAGTTCCTTTTGAAACCAAATGGGGAAGGGGTACCTAACGTCCAAACCACCAAGCCAAATCACCAAGCGAGAAGCTAAACATGGACTGCCTTGAGCAAATCTATGGCCAGGTCTAAGTTTCCTCTTGGTCCGCCAAGCTGGTTCCAACAGCAGGGTCAAAAGAACCTCCCTGGCGCAAAAGGGGTAATGCTTGACCCAGGGCATACCCAGCTTAAGGAAGTCGGGGGGAGAGGGGGCGAAATGACCTGCAGATCTCCATGTTGAATTTCACTTTTTGTGGGAAGACTGGAAAAATGGAATCGACAACTCCTTCCGCTAATGAAGGTAGGGGGATGGTGGGGCGAGTACTTGCGAAGCAGCCGAAACGGGGGTGTAACCCAACAAATCTAACGGCAACAAACTCCTTGCTAGGCCCTGTGTGCAAAGTGCCTCAGCTGATTTTGTTTTGCGGGAGTTGCAACAAATCCCATGCCCCAAAGGAGCGGTGGGAAGCGAAGGATGTGGACGTCGTGTCGTTTGAACTCGGTACGGTCGCTGTTTTCATTCGCACCTGTCCTTCTGGTTCAATGGTGTCCCCAAAATGCAAGTAGCACACCCAGATTCACTAAACCAAGACGCACTCAAGGGCCACTGCTCCAAGCAAGTGACGACATTGCCGGCGCATCGTCGCTGGCTAGGGCCAACAGTGCTGTAAATTGGAAGCTGCAGCATAGAAATACAGAGATAGAGAGAGAGAGAGAGAGAGAGAGCGAGGGAGACTGAGAAACAGAGAAAGAGAAACATAGAATGAGAACCAAATTTGGTAGAAAAGAGAGCCCTCTCCACCCCAGCCACCCCCCCCAACTCCATCGCGAGGACAAGAAGATGCTGGCTGAGTTAAAGCACAGCTGCGCTGAGAAGGCGTCTGCCTGGGAAGGCCGGCAGAAGGCCCGCAGCACCGAGCTGCTGGCGCTCCAGGAGTCCATCGGATCCCATCAAGTCCCTCCCAATCGAATTGAATCGACGGGATTTGGCGATTTTGATGTAAACCGTGTCATCCGATCGAATCGAGTCGCCGGGCGTTTTGCTTTTTGTTTTTGTTTGCATGGCGCATGAGTTCGGATTTGTTTCTTGAAACTATAACGGGTGAGTTCACGATTCATTTCGTGGCGAAAGAGGGTTGCTTCGTCAAAAGGTAGCGCCCTCCAGGAATACGCCTGGTGGATAAAATGGAAAGGTCTTTCCATAAATCCCGTTTTAATGGTACACTCCCCCAATCAAATCAGCCACAGGTTGATTCATTCTGCGCCCAGTTGCCCAGTGGCACTTTTCTGGAGCACCAGTTCTCCTTGAACACCCACCAACAAACCAACCAACCAACCAACCAACCAACCAACCAACCAACCAACCAACCAACCAACCAACCAACCAACCAACCAAAGACGGCTGCCATTTTTGTCCAATGGACATCCACAAGGGGTAGAATCAAGCAACGAGAGTCAGGGGCCTTTGTTTCCCATCCCACTTGGTGAGCTTCCTCACTCCCACTTTTTGGGCTTCCAGTTTGGTGGTAAACAACAAGTCCTTGGACTTGTTTGGCCCATTCAGCATTTTATCTGTGTTTTTCCAGTGTTTTTTGCTTTCAAGAGGTAAACTGTGGATCTTGGGGGGGGTGACCACATATTTGTATAATACACCTAATTCAGCATTCTCAAAGGGGCCTGTTCGCGGGGTGCCTCAAAGAAGGTGATCCTCTATCGCCCAAGTCACGGCCCCCACAGGCAATCGCTTCTGAGTTAGGAGACCGTCAAGATCCTGGACACCGACGAGTCCCACGACCTCTTCCGCGGCCGCTCTGCCAGCCTCATTCAGGTGGCGGCCAACAAGGCGAGTGGCTCGAGTGGGTTTGTTTCCGCCACGACTCCCTCTGGCAATTGAAGGGGTCTCCTCCAAAATGACTAGGTCCACCAGTAGTGCCCTTTTACCCTTTTTTGGGAGGGAGGGTTCCCCTACTAAAATAGACTACACAGAAAAAAAAGTTGGTATCCTTATTCTATCCTCTCTACTGGAGGGCCTGGACGAAAACAGAAGACTCTGCAAACCGAGCTGGTGTCCTCCTTTCAAGGACGCATGTGCGGGGTCTATGGGGCCTGAAGCGCCGAGCCGAAACTCGCTTGTGTGTCATTGGTGGGTGTCGAAGCACCTGAGAAATCAACCCACTTACCGAGGGGTTCTTTCATCTCCAGTTTGGAAACGAGAATTAATCAAACTGTGCAGATGAACAGGGCGTGTTTTCCTCCAACAGTGAAGAATGTATTCCTGATCTGCCGTGGCTTTGTTCTGGAGGGAGACCTTGCTATGCTTTTGCGGGGGCTCTATGAACCCCTCATTCCAAGTGGGGCCCATTGCTGAGGGTCCATGGTGCTCAGGTTGGTAAGCCCTCCAGTGGGGCTTTTCCTTTCATGTGTGGTTCCAACTCAAGTTTGTTGCTGATAGTTCCCCAAAATGTTCCTTTGGCTGGCGGAAGGAGGGTGAGTCAGCAGTCAAGACGTGCTTGCTCGACTTAACACAAAGCGAGTTGACATATACGTGCATCTTGAATCGTGGTTTGCGTGTCAGTTTCGGTGATGAGATCCAAGCCTTGAGGATGTGGCTGGGCCGGGTTGGGCTGCCAAGCTTGATAACACTAGGATTGGATACCTCTCCATGCTGAACATCCACTTTGACTCGTAGGTCTCTCATCATTCAAGAAGGGCAACAGGTTCAACCCTAGTTCGAGTTGTACTGTGCGCGATCGTCACTTGAGCAAGCACACAGTAATGGTTTTGGAGGAGCCACGTTTGTTCCACACCGGCGCTGATGCATCATCCTGTTTCCCGGTTTTCGCGGCCTGCAGGATTCATTGAGGGAGCGCGTTCTGACGCTGCTCAGCCGCGCAAAGGTGAATGCGGCTTGGCGTTCTTGCAGTTGCCTCATAGGATTCTGACCCCAAAGCAAGACACACAAGACCCAAACTTAGCGCCAAATGAAGATCTTCCTTGGACACCGGGGGTTCGGAGGGTCGCGATGCTGGGCGTTTTTGACTGGGTTTGTGCCTCGCTTGGAGTTTGAGCCTCAGCAACCTGTTGACTTACCCCCCTTGCCTCATGAAGGCGCCCAGTTCCAAGGGCAAAGGGGTCAATCCCTTTCCCCGGCGCCTGGCACAAGGTGTTTGTTTGTCGTATTTTAGGATTGGCAAAAGAAGTGTGTGTGTGCCTTTGTATCATTTTGTTTATAGATGAACTATAGATCTGTGTGTGTGTGTCTTAAGGGCACCCTTTTCAGTTTCGTTCAGCGAGAAGCCCAAAATACAAACTCGTAATTGTTGGGGAGGTTCACCCATTTGAGAACATGTATTTTTTCCTTTTCGCATAGACCCCAGATTTCAACCAAGCTTCCTCTGGAAAGCCAACTGCTGCAGTCCAGCCGGCCGTTGGCAGGTGAGCGGCACGGCTTGTTTGGTTGGCGAGCCGTGCGATGGCAGAAGTCTACTGTAGCCGCCAGTCTTTGCTGGCATGCTGTCTTCCTTGGAATGCGACAAAATCGCGAGGAACCGTGGGTGGTTTCCCAAAGAAGACGATTTCGAGTGCAGGGGTCAAATGTCCGTCAAAGGTTCCGACAATCGTTTGGTGCTTTCACTGGAACCCCCCCCTTTGGGTGAAGGGTCAGTCGCCGGAAAGGCCTTGAAGAGCACCGTGAAAGTTCGAAAAATATATATATATATATATATTTTTTCCCCTGATGGTTTTAAAGGGAATCTATCACTACTGGACATATTTTTTGTTGTTTCCAGGGGACTTGAGCAAATGGATGAATGAGTTCCAATTCCGAGACTACGATTTGGTCCTTTCGGCTAGCCCCTTCTGTCCGAATTCTTCAGTCACCTGTGAAACCATCATGTGCCCCGTTTCCAACAAGCGGTGTAACAATGGAAGTGGACAGAGTGTGGACAGGGGGCTTCCCCAAAAGGAAAGTAGTCTTCCAGAGCCATCCGATCATCAGATTCCATGATTGTTGGAGGGAGGGTAACCTGCACGGGTTACATACCCCAGTTTCTCCAGGAAAGAGTAGTTGAAGGGGGGTGGAAAGACTCCTTGGTTGGGTTTGTTTCCTCCACATGCTCTTCCAAGGGAACCAGCCCCCTCCCCCCCCCAAAAAAAAAAATCACATAAAAAAGAAAAAGAGAACACAACAAAAACGAAACAAAAGGACTTCTGAAACAACATAACTTCTGAAGCAAAGAACTTCTGAAACAAAACAACTTAAAGAAACAAGAACAAAGACCTCAGATCTTCGGTGGTTTCTTTGGCGTTGCAGCCACCGCTCAGGACTCGGCGCGGGCACCTGAGCTGAACTTTCTGGCGCTGGCACTCAGCGGCGACTCAGCTGCTTCCCAGCGAATCGTTTTTTGGGGTAAGGTTTTTAGGGTTTAGAACTTAGACTTAGGCTTTTTAGTTGGTTTTTAGTTGGTGTAGTGGTTGGGTGTCCATTCCCCTTCATGATGTTTAGTTGGCTTTGTGTTGGTTTAGTGGGTGGGTTTCCGTAAATCGCCAAGAGTTCGTCACTTTTCGCTGGGGATCTCAAAAAACGGACAGCCCAGATGGGGTGTGTTCTCCGGACTTTTCCTCCGGACTTGCCGGGGATCTTCACGGCCCCAGCTCAGCGGAGAAATGAACTTAACAGCCGTGGTTTTGGGTTGCAAATGCCCCACTGGACATCATAGTGTCACAAGCCCTCGGTACTTTTGGCACTTTCGAGCACCTCTTCTCGCCGTAAGCTGGGGGTCGACCGCTTCCCTGCTTCAATTTCTGCTGCTGCGGCTGAGGCAAGCGGGTGGACTTCGGGAAGATCGTGGAGAAGATCGACGGCGCGCGTGCGGCATTGGAGCGTTGGTTTGGTTTTAGCTAGGTCCCCCAGTCGTTCCCTTTTACCCCTTTTTGGGGGGAGGGTTCCCCTACTAAAATAGATTGCAGAAAAAAGGGTACCCTTATTCTAACCTCTCTACTGGAAGACCTAAAAGGACCCAAGCAGTAACGTTTAATAGCCCCACCCGCCCCATGGTGAGTCCAAACCTAGGATATGTCTCACACCGCATTGCTGCTGTTGGGGGAAATGCAGTCATTGCAGCCCAGTTGTGCAGCGGCGCTTGTTTTGCCTTTGCCAGTGCACCCCGGGCAAGCCACTAGAAGCCAATCACTTCCTTTTGTTTTTGTTGGTAAATTAAAGGGTGGTTCCCTTCCGCCTGCCAGGGACGTGGAATCACTGGGTAACCATTCGGTGTCTTCCCAAAAAATGTCACCCCCCAAAAGGCTTCCAAGTCCTCGGGTTGCAACCGGGGTTGGTTTCGAAGAACTCCCGAGGCATGGTGGATCTTCTGAAGGCGGAGCAGCAAGATGACGCGGGCAAGAAGGCCAGTTCCCTTGACCCACCTCGAGAGAAGGGTTCGTAGATGTTCCTTTGAGCTAGGTCTTCTGCAATAGTATTTGTTGGCTTACCAACTATTTGAACCAGAAGAATCTGACAACATGTTCTTTTTGTATATGCCAGATGCGGGGGCGAAGTGGTTCGTTGCCCCTAGATACACCCCCAGCTAGCCCTCGTCACCCCCGGCAAACCATGGGAAGCGACTAAAAGGTTTTGCCGAAGGGTAAGCACGAATGGCGAAATGTTAACATTTACGTTCACGGAAACACTTAGTGGACTGACTGAAAGGGTTCTCCAAAGGTAAACAACAGTACCAACACATTCACGTTCACGGGAGCACTCAGTGGACCAAAAGGGTTTTCCGACAAGGGTAAGTACCAATTCCAAAATAGGAGCATTCACGTTCACGGAAATACTCAAGTGGACTGAAAGGGTTCTCCAACGGGTAAACACAATGCCGAACATGCTAAGCACAAGCTGGGAGCCCTGACTGCTGATGTGATGCAGCTGCTTCGAAACATGCTTGAAGACTTTGTTGGCCTAAGGCTGTGCAAGATCCATGTCAACAGCCATCACAAACACAAGGGCATACGCAGTCTACAAACTCCGCACGTCCAAATCCGATGCATACGAAAACAGCAGAACAACGACTGCACATCAACCAGTCACAGCGAAGCAGGTCAATTCGACTTGCAAAGGAAATACCAACTTGCATGGACAAATTGCAGTGAAGCATGTTCAACCGGTTCACACTTGCTCAACGGGTCGCGTTACAGGGTTGGTAGCCGGATCTATGCCGGCGGCATGGAAATCGTGAAAACACGTTCGGGCGGGTACCCGCACGATAGCTTTCTGCATGACTGTAAACCAGCGGTTGGAAACGTTTTTGAGGGAACCGTAGGGCCGCCCTGGAAACCATTGGGTTTTCGCAGGGACCGCCTCCTGCGAACTAGTCATGATAAGAGGCTTGTAGCTGGGCGGGGGGAGTTTACCTACCGCAGAGGGGGGGTCTGGAATTCGCCTGGTTGCATACTCTTCAGCAATTACTCTACATAGGTGTCCTTGTTTAAGCTAGTTTGATTAGAAATAAATGGATTCCAACTGGTTTAGATTGGTTTAATTCCTCATTCACTTAAAAAAATACAGATAGCCAGGATGTAGGTCCTTTACTTGGGGATTCAATTCTTCTTTCAGGTTTTTTTCTTTTCAAAACGCGCACCTTTGCTGTATGCCAATGCCAATAATCATAGAGAGAGAGACGGATCATGTGCATTTCGCTGTGCATGGCTTATAAAGGGACACCCATTGGCCGCAGTATTTGATTACTACCGTCATCGAAACCGGGTATTTAAAACATCCACTGGCCAGATGCCAAACGCCAGCTTTTCAGCTCATACAACTCTTTGCTCTTTTCCACTTCATCCAAGTTGAAGAGCAAATTCCACATGTGTCCAACTTTCAAACTACGGCGGAGCAGGTCGAACTTCCATGTCCCAGTTGCAAAGTGCTGCCCTTTTCTTCATTTTTGTGGGGAAGGGTGAAACAATTTCTGCAAAGTCCCCTTTTCAATCCCCACGGAAATCCACTGGATACATCTGAGATGTTGGTTCTCGATGTTTTTTTTTGTCGCCAGAGGCCTATTGCACCAAGCAGTTCCATGCCACAGAGCTGAAGAACCGAAGCCTCCAGCAGGAGTCGCTGCCAGCGTGAGACGCGGAGTACCACGGACCCGCTCAACGGGAACGACCCGGTCCAATCCGATTGGCCCTCCGAGAATTAAAAAAAACAACAACGCAGAAACCCCATGTGAATTGGAGGGAGGGAAATGTATCTGATCTTGCTTCGTGATGTTCTTTGCCTGGCCGTTCATGTTACAGGGAGATGTTCATGATTGGCGGGCACATGAGGCACATGCATTTGCGTTGTCGGCTTATACCATGTCTGTTTTGTTCCGTTTTTTGGGGGGGCATGCTTTTCGCGAACGCTGGCCTCGAAGAGGCTTTGCTTGAAGGGGGGCGAGTGGGTAGCAAGATTGTGGGCACAAACGGGGGCCGGACGGTGTCGTTTTTCGGACACATGGGGGCAATTTGGGGCTGGGACACGGCCAAATTGTGGGTAAAGACGTTTCCATGAGTTAAAGTGAGCCTTGCTTTGAAGCGTCTCTCGAGGAGATTGCGTCCCTCACGGCCAGTGTGGCGCAGAAGGCCGGCTTTGGAGCGGGTCTGCGAATGTCACGGACCCTCAAAAGGTCTCCCCTTATTTTACTGTTTGGGCCAAAAACCATGTTGTCGCATATTGGGGCACGCTCAAGGGAAAGCTGTGTTGCAAAGGTTGTGGCCCGAGTTTCTCCTTTTGACCTTGAAAGCATACCATCACGAAAATGGCGCACAGGCCATTGCTTGTTGACCCCACTTTGGAATATGGTTTTGTCCTTTTCTAGATGTTCCTTGTTTTTTTTTTGGGGGGTTTTGGCAAGCCAAAGGAAGCCACATGAGGGAGGTTCCGCGGTTTTGATACTCAGAATCTGGGTCCGTCTTTTTGGGGGGCTAGCCCTTTTGTTGTGGTTGTAAGGGGAAGCCAAACATGAACACCAAAGCCATGTTCGGGGGTCCAAGTCCTGAAAAACGACGGGCCAGGCATATGACTTAGGCGTTTTTAAAAAGGCCTGTGCGGTAGTCCACACGCAGGGGTGCGACAAACAACTTTCAAAATCAACAATGTTCTTTTGAAACAATCATATTTATGTTGGATATTCTTTTGATAGAATGACTGTTTCTAAACAAGTTTTTGAAACATCTTTTTCAATTAAAACAAGTTTCACAAATAATGAGAAAGTTTCCAAAACAACTTTTTGGGCATGATGAAATATTTCTTCTTTTCTTTGGCAGCAAGTTAGTCAAATGAAATGGTTGTTGACATCACCGGTCACTTAACCCAGAAGCAATATCTTGGAAACATTTGCTTGGCGAGATACTGAAGGAGTTACATTGAAGCTCTTTGGTAAGCATTTTCATCGCAGCCTGCCCTTTGGCTCAATGGCTGCCCTGGGGCTGGATCAGGTTTTAGAGCTTGCCAACGCATATGACGCGCAGGGCAATGAAGGCCGCGGTGAAGGCGCAGAGAGGGAGCGCCGGCGCGGCCGGGGTCAAGCCCGGCGCCAGCCATTAGGAAGAGGCCTGAGGCAACGCAATCAAAGGGCGAATCTGCAGGCCCGCCGGGCTGGGGCGCTCTTTGCGGTCAAGAAAGGGCAGCTTGTCTTGCAGAGCGAGCACTTCAACAAGACAGGGCAGGCGCGCACGCAGGATCACCAGCTACCAGATGCAGAGCTCAGCAGAAAGGTTGCCACAGGCAAAGGGAAATGGAAGACCTGGACGCCCGAAGCTGTTCTTAGGGCTGGGTTCGGGCACGAGAGAGCGACCTGCAGACAGGTAGCGAGCGAGGTGGAGGGCGCGTCTGCGAGCCATTCGCGAAATGCTCGGTTTGCTTGCGCGTCGGCGGCTTGCAGGTTTCAAGAACAAAGCTGTGAGAAGGTCGCAGCAGACTCGTTGGCCCGCCCTTTGAAGTTTTTCATCAGAAGCTTGATGTTTGACGAGTCTAGCTTTGCGTTGAAGGTCGGCACAGACCCGGCAAACAGCTGCTCAGTGTTGTGCTCACATGCGCAGTGGGCCATGGCCTCTCCTCCCAGCGTGGCGGGCGGCCAACCCACTATCAGGGACGAGCATGTTGTCCGACCTCCGCAGATCTTGGCACCAATGAATAGCGCCACAATGTGGAAAACATTGTCGGAGCATCCAGGAGGTCTCGGGCCACGCAACGTGGCAGCCGAGCACACTTGTACGCTAACTACGTGCGATTCCCATTCAACAAACATCAAAATGCTTAAGCATTTCGACAGCACCCTTCCAGCCGACCACTTATTCCTGCCCACTTTATGTGCGCAGCACAGGAACGGGAACGTGGTAGAACAACTAACGCACTTGCTGGGGAATTTGTCTGGTTGTTTTTGTGTTTCACGAGTGCTGAACTCCCGGCACGCGGTGCAAGCCCTACGGCGGCGAACGCGCGCTGCGCTGGAGCGGGACTTGGTTTTCTTGGAGTCCGAGCCCGTTGGCGTTCAGGCGGAGTGGGCCGAAGCAAGGTCGCTGACCAGGAGGTTTTTAAAAATGGCAGCAATGTTTGACGCTGCTGCCAAGAAAGATGATGACAGTGCAGCTGACGCGGCCGCCGCTGGCGAGGCACAAGTCGAGCTCCCTGCCGGCCGAGCGCAGCTCCTGGATTTCTTCAGCGGCCCGTGGTCAGGACTACCTTTGGCATGCGTGGTTGGGTTACAGCCAAGAGTGTTCAGTTTTTGTTGTGTTTAGTCTATGCATGCAGGTTTGTGCGACGTAACCTTTTAGACGGGTGTCTTTGCCGGGTTCTTGTCGGCGTTTGGCTTTTTTTGTTTTTTGGGGCCAGTGTTTGGATGCAAGCATGCGTGTCGTAGCTTTTTCTGCTCGCAGTCTTTTGACAGCGCCCTTTCTGTGTTGCAATGGCCGACAGCGCAGATCTAAGTGTTGGCGAAGTTGAGCAGCCCTGCGAGAAGGGAGGGCCGCAGGCCGAGGCGGGCCGGGCTAGCGCCGGGCCGCTGGCCAGCGAGAAGGGAGGTCCTGTGGCTGAGAAGGAAGGGCCGCTGGCCGCGCGTGGCCAGCATGGCTGACACAGGGCCGCAGGCCGCGGGCGTTTCTGGCACCGGGGCGCAGGCCGTGTTGTCTGGCAACGCAGCCTTGGAGTTCTTGCTCCAGAGACGTTCGCGGAACACTGGCTTTGCGGACTGGATGCACTCGCTGGCCCCGGCTGACGCTCGCAGAGTCATCTTGAACAAGGCAGATGCCTTCGGCACCACGAGCACAGACGCGCAGGTGCAGCAGATGAGTTCTGTCTTGGTGAGCGATGCGTATGGCGCCCAAGGGCTGGTCGTTGCCGCAAAGCGACAGAAGAGAGGCCAAGGCAGACGCAGAGGGAGAGGCCAGCGGCCGCCGGCCTTGCAAGGCGACGACGACCTTTCCTTTTCGGAAGGCTGGGGCTCAGATTCGGCCTCGGAAGCGGAGGAAGTCGAGGCGAATCCATCCTGCCAGCTCGTCCGCAGGACCAGGGTCGGCTAGTTCGTCCGCAGGACCAGGGTCTGCCGCTGCTGCTTCCAGTGGGCCTGCTCCGCCTGTGAAGCGCAAGCTGCAATCCAGAGCCATTCCTTGGGGTCCATTTCAGATCGCGCCGATCGTCCCGGCCGCGGGCCAGAGTGGGTGGGGAGCCATTTGCGGACAGCATTGCGATCAAGGGAACACGCTGTCTTGCAAGAAGCCGCAGCAGCACACTGACTCCTTCTACGCCTGAAACGATGGCTCCTCGCGGGCCACTCTGACCAACAGTGGCCGAGCCACAGGCGACGCTCGCACCACGTTGAGCTAGGTGGCAAAGGCTTGCAGGACTTCGCGGATGGCATGACAGAAGCAGAGATGGATGAGTTGGTCGCTTCTTGGAGTTGATGCACAGACAGGCCGCCGGCCGTAGCTGCGTAGCCGCTTTGCTGAGATTCTGGCCATCTGCGTTGCTTTTTGTCTTCCTTTCAGCTACTACAAAAACTGGTAGTCCTTTTGAAGAGACACGTAGCCGGCCGGACATTCCTTTCTGCGTTTCTTTGAAAATGTAAGTGCGTAGTACAAGTTCCTATCCAGATTGAAGTTTCAGAAGCTTGTAGAATAAAGAAACATCGCAGGCAGAAGTAATAACAATATTACAATACTACAATATTTTGCGCACGCGTTTCCAACAATTGTTCAAAAGTTTTCTCAAAATATAAGATAAGATGTTTCGTAGAGAATCTCGGTTGTTGCGCAGAGATTTTACTAAGTTGCTATTGATGCTTACTTAACCTGCGCAGAGAAACCGCAGAGAAACCGTAGAGAAAAATAATCGAATGTTTCCATAACATGTTGTGTACTTTCTGCGAAATGTTTAAGGAAAAACATCTTGTTCTACCAAAGTTTGTTTTCCACAGGGCTGCATTTGGCCATACAATGGAGTGGCCGCGCGCACAATCTAAGGACCTGCGCTGGTGGTCCACTGGCGATTGCCAGAGCGTAGCTGCTTGTCGCAGGTCCGTGGCGCTCGCGTCAGAAATTGGGACTGCGCTAGCCAGGCTTTGTCTACTTATTCGTGTTGGGCAGGGCTTGGCTAGAGCGGGCGCAGCAGTCTGCAGTTGTGTTGTTGTGTGCTAGTTGGGCAGGTCGCCTGTGCGTGTGCAGCTTTGGCTCTGGCCGCAGCATCCTTCGCACCCTTGTTTCGGTGGCAGCCATGGAAGACGACGTAGCATCGGTGGCCCCGTCAAGCACAGCTACGGCTGCTCGCGCAGGTGGGCTCTCCGCGCTTCCGGTATCCTTGTCCCTCAGCAAGGCTTGCACCTGTTGCTTATGCAACTGCAAGAGCACAGACGAAAGCCCTTTAGCCTCGCACGAGCTAGGGATAGAATTCGATGACCAATTTTGCCAATACGGCGGGGTGCGGCCCTGGAACAAGTATCGCAGGGTGCGAAACCCAGAGACCGATGCCTTCAACAGAGTTCCCGAGGGCAGGCTTTGCATGCTTTGCTTCGGCACTTTCAGGTCGCTCGGCTTGGATTACCAGTATTCCTCATACGGTGCCTACTACAAGCATGTGAGAGAGAACCCCAAGGAGCACACAAAGTTCTTGCAATCAGTGAAAGAGTATATCCGCTTGAAAAATGAAAGCCCGGGCACCAGAGTGGACAGGGAAGCGGTGAAGAAGGCTTCAACTACTTTGCACTCGGAAAGCAAGACTGGGATGAAGCTGAAAGGCCCAAAAAAGGAGTTTGTCCTCCTGGAGCATTGGGACACCAAGTTGGACGGAGAATTGGACGAGTCCAAGGTAGTGCAAGAGGTGTGGCAGGGCAAAAAAGTGAAAGGCGTCTGGAAGACGGTGGGCCGGGTCGGCGTGCTGACGGGGGAGCAGTACGAGGACACCAACATGTCTCAACGAACTGAAGAGCACAGCGGCCACGGGCCCTTTGCCGAGGAGGCACTGGAAACCAAGCGGGAAGTTCTTCAGAAGGTGCTCAATGACGCTGAAGAAGAGAGGCAGAAGCACTCTGTGGCCGCAGGCCCTGCAGCCACTGTCTTGCGTCCTTACTTTCAGCGCTAGTTCGTCAGACATTGGATCGTAATGTTTGGGCATGCTCCGTCAGGAAAGCAGGAGGGTCCTCGAACATGGACGTGTTCATCAACCAAATGGCCGCCCACGGATACGAAGGTCAGCCCGTCCTCACAGACAGCGCTGAGTTTGGCTTGCCAGCGCGCCGCAGGCGTTTGTATGTCTTTTTGGTGCGCGTTGAAGCCAACCCTCTACTTTCATTTCACGACAGAAGCGTGGATTGCATTTTTGCTACGTTCAGCGCCCTCCTATCTGGATGCGTTCGGAGCGGGCCATGTGCTTCTGAAATTCTTCTTGGCGACAATGACCCTGCTGTGGAGCTGGCTCAAGCAAAGCCGGTTGCTGCTGACTGGCCAGACCAGCACATGAGGATGGCCGCCGCCTTGCGTGTGAAATGGGGGCAGGGGGCGCAGCCCGAGCTTTTGAAGAATCCTTGGTACGCAACCTTGACAGATAGGGAAAAGGACGCTGTCCCGTTGTTGCAGGCCCAGCTTCCTGCCACACTGATGCGAGACTTGTCCCAAAGCATCGCGCGCGCTAACGCTGCTACGTGGAAGGCAGAAGACAACAAGCACTTGGCTCCCACCATGCTGCCCAAAATGAACGTGTGGCTCGAGCCCGCCGGGCATCGCAAGGTCGCGCGCCTGATGCTTGGCCGGGAAGGCTTGTTGTTCCAGGGGTTTCCAGCGCTTCTCTTCTTGGAGATGCTGGACGCTTTCCAAGCTGCATCGAGCGCCGCCGGCGTTGTGAGCCACGGTGCGCAGCACTCAGGCAGCAAGAGCGGGAGCAAAGCGGCGAGAGGACGGACTTCAGGCCAAAAGATCTCTTGCGCACCTGGCGCCCAACAGAAGTCCTGATGCAAGACGTAGCAGGCAATGCTATGTCGCTGCCTGTCGTCATGACGATGTTGCAGTGCGCGTTTGCTTCGGTGAATTGGCGTTCTGGTGCTGTTAGCCGAGCTGCGGACGCACCTGTCTCCACGCAAGAGGACTGGCGAGATGCCATGTGCTCTGTTTTTGGGTTGCCTTCTTACTTCTTGGGACTTGTGTTTATCCATTTATCTATCTGTATCTCTAAAGCCGCAAAAAAAGATGTGATGTGTAATGTGTAATTTGTAATTTGTAAGCGGGTTCAATTGTTTCGGGAGCGCTCGCTCTTGTTATATCGTAACTGCGAAAGCTCTGCAGGATGTCGCCTCTGCCATGGCCGCACTCCGGGCAGTCGGGCTGTGCGAGGCCGCGGGCCATGGTGCTGAAGATCCCGAGCTTGCAGCCATAGTGCCAGAACCTCCAAGCAGAGGGGTGGCCAATTTGAAGCGCAAACTCAAAGAGCGGAAGTCGCAATGATTTGCCGCGGAGTGTCGGAGGGGGAGAAAAAGGGATGCGCAAGGGCATGCCGCTGGTGCTTTCACAGGTTGCTTTTGAGGGGCTCCTTCGGGGCGAAACTTTATATTGGAGAACGTTCAACATTGGTTTCACCAATTGCAGTGATCATGCGCAGCTACATTTTTATGTTGAAGTGGCCTTGCTGTGGCTTGAGCCTAGGTTGACGCGCAAATTGGCTTCTTTCAAACCCTTGCCCGGAAATACTGAATATAGTGTCATCGTGCCATGAGGCCACTCTATCATGGGCTTGCCATGGGCTAGTTCCCCAGCGCGTTTGACAATAATTCTACAAATGAAAACAAATCAGGCACAAATATGAATTTGTTGTACAATGAAAACTTGTTTAGAAAGATTCAAAAACAACTTGTTGCTGTTTTAATACTTTAAAAGAATGTCTGAAAACAACTTTATAGAGAATTCTTACTTTTTCAAAGAAGTTGAAATGTTGCAAAAGAAGTTGCCGAAAAGAAGTTGTGAATTCTGTGGCTTGTTGAACCTGGGTTTAGGCTCCAACCCACAGGCCTTCTAAAAACACCCAACATATGACACGGTTGTTTGAAGAGGAACTTGGACATTAATGCGAAAGAAGATGAGATAATGGCAACTGGTTCACCGGGACTCTGTCACCTCATCACAAGGCTTTGTTCGAGCAAGGCAGGTTTGGAGGGTTCCAGGTTCCCTCGTTTATCATGGTTGTAGGGCCGGCCAGCTTCTGTACCAAGGGCATCCTGGTCTGAAAAACGCGCCGGGCACCTGTCGGAACTTGCTCAAAATGAGAATCTGATTTGCTCAGAAACAAGCGTTCAACATAGTTGAGCAGCGCCATAAACCCTGACAATACAAAATAGTAAAGGGGGGTGTCCTATAGAATCCCCGCAAAAGCCAAAACGCAGGCCGCGAAAGCTTGCAAAAGCTTATCGCGAAAGAAACCAAATAAGGTTTCACCGCAAAAGACCCGCGAAAGCCTGCATGCTGTGTGGCAGTCCGCCGCGAAAGCGTCGCGAAAGCAATTCTGAGGAAAACAAAGCCCGCGAATGCAAAACATGGGGTCGCGAAAGCATTGCGAAAGGGTCCGCGAAAGCAAGTTCATAGGACTGCTTTTTACACAAGAGTATTTGGCACGGCTCAGTTGTTCAACAAAATTGATAAGCCAGAAAACCACGATGCAAATCCACCAATCACTCCCTGAGTTCCGTTTCGGACTTTAGCCCCTTTTTTAGGCTTGGGCAATTTTTTGTGGCAAAGGTTGGTCACTTTTTCTGGTCAATCCACTTGGGAAGTGTGTTGTTTCTCCCCGGGGGTGCGAGCTGAAGCTCGCGTTTTTCTGGTAAGGAGCTCACCTGGGGAGACGAGGCGGCCCTGAAGATGCTCTAGAAAAGTCCTGATCTGGAGCCTGTTGATTGAACACGACACTTCTCATGGATTTCTGGGCAGAGGGAAGTCACGGGTGGTGTCCCAAACTTGGTTCCCAACCATACCCTAAGGAGCTGAGAGTGTAGAATGATGTAGTCGTTTTAAGTTGGTTTCAAAGGGATACCCAAAAGGAAAGCCACCGTTTCCTTTTGTTGGGGGGACGTCCCGTTAGTTTGACACATGGCTATGTCATGTCCCGCTAATGTTGACCCCAGATTACTCAACCCCAGTTTATTATTTTGGGGGGGTGTCCCGGATTTTAGTCGGGAATAATCACTTTTTGGAGGAGAAACCCCCTATGAATAAGCTGGGGTTGATTAATATGGGGTCAACACTACACATTTCAAGTCATCCCCAGGCCGACGCGGTGACGCAGCTGGTGGGAGAGGTTAAAGCGCTGCAGGCGCGGTCAAGAAACCTCGCCCGAAATACGGCGGACGAGAGTTCATTTGTTCACCCACCATTCGAAGATCGTAGCTTTTAATCATGGCATTCGGTTGGATCTTTGGACTTTAACTCTTTTGTTGGGACGGTGGGTGTTCCGTTGGACCCACAACACGTCAAGCTTTTTCCAGAGGGGTCAACAGCAACCAAGGTAAACAATGGCAAGTCAGTGGAGTTGTTGACAGGTGTTGTGATCAGGTTTTGAGGTTCCAGGCCTCAGCTTCCTTGGTTTCAAGGTTAACTGCGCAAGGTTTTGCCAACCAACTAATCGACTCAGCATGTTCTACTAGTTGTTTGCTTATTGAGCAAACCACTAGTAAACAATAGCCTCCTGGAATCTGATATCCTTCCAACGCGTGAGGAAAGGGAACCTGCACGTGTGAGTCGGGCATGTCAGGTGCGAACATGCGCTTTCAGAGTTGAAGTGGGGGACGATGGAAGACTAATGAGTTGACTATTGCGGCAAGACTGCACTGCCCTTTCTTAGTGGAAGAAACGTTTTGAGTTCGCTTGAATCAGCCAGGCTGAGATGGTCCCGACAGGCTTCCAATATATGATGTTTTGAGAGTTTCAAGCTGTTTGCGGACATCTCTGAAATTTGGAGAAGGTTTGCGAGGGTCCGGAAAGCATGGATAATGACAAGGATAGATCCCGCGGGTTGCCTGCAAGCCGTGACATGCCATGTCCATGTCACATAACGGTGAAAGCTGAATGTTCACCAAAACTTGAGTTTGTCTTCCTTTAAGGGACCCCCTTTAATTTTAAGGGGAAACCAAAGGCAAAGCCTTCATTTTGGGGGTCCAAATCCTACAAGACGAGCCACCCATTTGTTTGTGTCTTTACCCAAGCCGTGTTTGCAAGAAGCCGCGCGCTTCATTTCTTGGCGGCTCACCCGGAAGCTGGGAACCTAGAGTCATGGGGGGTGGGGGGGAGGAAGGGGGGGAGGGAACCCAAATAAGCTCTTATTAAACCCTTACTCAGACCTTAGGAAGGGCTTATTTGGATGCTGGAGAGAGAGAGAGAGAGAGAGAGAGAGAGAAAAAAAAAAAGAGAAAGGGCTTATTTGTGCGCCCCCTCTCTCCTCCCAGCCCCCACAGAGACACCCATCAGCTGGGAATACTCTTTGCTTGCTAGGCGGGGGTCGCGGCGCTGGACAAGACCGTGGCGGAGGCCGGTGAGAACCGCAAGGCGCGTGCCAAGCGGTTAGGACGAGGTTTGCCCGAAAAGAGGACTGGGCTAGTCGGCTAGTCCTTCAGGTGTACAAGGATTTTTCTTGTAAACCTGGCGTCCTGGAAAAGGCACCCAGTTCTTTGTGCAACATCAAATTCCTTGTTTTGAGAGAAGTCCTCGTTTGGGAGGACAAGGAACCTTTGTTGTGGGGCGTCCTTTTATGTAAAATTGAATCAAGGGGAACTATTAGGGAACGCCATGCCCGTGTTCTTGTTTTGCAGGTTATTCAAGAGAAAAACATGAGTTTTGAGGCTTGTTCGTCAGCCGTTTTCCCTTTTGGCACCTTAACGCAAAAACCACTAAAGTCACTAAACTGTAGAATCCCTGCACGTGTAAGCCTTCCCAATAAATTCCCATTGCAGGGACATATGGGGACCCCCATTCAACCGGTTGTGTTTCTTAGTAATTTTGTTTGAGGGGTGTTTTAGTCTTTTGGTTTATTCGTCTGGGTAGCCTACGAATCAGTTGGAGCCCCTCTAAAAGGCCCTGCCCTTTGATGAGGTCCAGCCTTTCTTGAGCTCGAAAGGCCCGACCAGTGAAGCTTGAAGGTCAAGTTCCCAGGAGTGATGTTGGCACAGTGAAGCGATTTGGGTGTGGGTGAAAAGTAGGCTAAATGTTCACAATTGTGGTTTCTTGTCTCATTCCCCAGGTTCCTGGACTTAACTTTTGTGGCCTGGACAATTGTAGGGGTAAATAACCAGTTTGGTTGCTTTTTGTTGGGTCAATCCACTCAGGGCCTGAGCTTTTTACAGACGAAATCGAAATCCCGTACCCCGAACCGCCGGTTTGTTTGGTTGGTGCGTTGCTTGGCTGGTTGGCTCGCTTGCTTGCTTGCTTGGCTGTTTTGGCTGTTTTGGCTGGTTGGCTGCTTGCTGGCTGGCTGGCTGGCTGGATTGCTTGGTTGCTTTTGGTTGGTTGCTTGGTTGTTTGGTGGATCGTTTTTTGGGGCCATGTCTTTCGAAGAAACACCGGCCAGCGGGTGTGCCCCAGGCGGAGCACGCGGAGTTCCAAGAGCTCATCTCCTCGGACAGCTCGGCGCTTCAGCTGCTGGGCCTCGCCAAGCAACGCCTCAACCAGGCCATCGCGCTCGCGCCCGCGATGCCGGGCGGCGGACGGACGATTTTTGGGCCCATGAAGCCCAGACAACATTTCGAGAGGTCAGCAAGTTTCTTTTGGTGGGTTTCATGGGGCCCTTCCAGTGGTGGCCATTTTGAGAGCTTCGCACAATTGCTTTTGGTGGGGTTCATTTGGTTCATTCGAAAAGCATTTAGAAAGTATGTTTGAAGATGTCACTGTAAAGGACCCCACTCCCGTTACCCTTCCTTACCCTTCCCCCCTGGTTTGTGCTGAAACACTGGACCTTTCAACTGGAACCTTTTTACTTGAACCCTCAGAACGTGTCCGGGAAAATCACTTTTGCCGGCCTAGGGCTCCCTAGTTGCTCAGTTGGTTCCAGCCTTCGATCGTGTGTTCCCACACAAATGGAATTCCAAGGGGTCCTTTGTCCACAGGGTCGCTGGAAAACTGAAACCTCTTGCGCCTGGACTCTTCATGACCCTTTTACTAAAGGGGTCACACACACCAAATTATGTTGGTAGCTGAGTTACCTGGAAGGGGTAGAGGGAAGCCACTTTCCAGGTGGATTCGCGCCTCTCGTCCAGGTTGTTTGGTCTCTGGACATCAACCAGGATTTTTGTTCCATTTCTTTGAGTTCCAACATTTCTGGCCAGGTTCCAAGTGAGGCACCCTAAGCCTTGCCAGGCCCTCTGGTTGCAAGTGACTTGGGCGTTTCGGTGGCCAGGGTTGAAAGTGAGGCTTGCGGCTGGGCAGTCCACTGGCCCCACAATCTGAGGTATGAAGTGGGAGGGATATTAGGGCCCTTGCCATTCAGACATGGGTGTGGCTCAAAATTAAACAGGAGGGGCAAACCGCAGGTTTTGGTCCATGTTTCCACCTAGGGTTCCATTTTGGAATTCCGTTTTTTTGAGCCCCAGCCACATGTCTTCAGAACGCACCGATCAGTTCCCGTCAAGAGGAGTCTGGGAAGACGCCGTTGGTTGGAAAAAGGGCCCTGCAGCCTCTCCCTAAAGACTCCGTGCCGTGAAATCCTTATTCAATTTTGGCCTTCTGTGACCTTGCTGGTCCCACTCTACCTGGGTGTGTCAAGATTTTGGGAGAGGGGGTGGGGGCGGCAAGAATAGTAGGTGTGCTTTTGGCCTGCCTTCAGGCCCACCTGAAAACGGTACCCCTTAACTTCCCCAGAATTAGTTGCCCCTTTCTATTTGTTTGCTTTTTGGGGGTTCCCTTTGTTTTCCACTAACCAGGCAAAAAAGCATGGGCAAAAACATGTGTTTTTTTGCTGGGGTCCTAATTCCAGCGAAGAGAAAACACACCCATTTCTTTTGGGCCACGTTAGTTCGGAGGTCTATCACGCCAGCCTGGTCGCGGTGAGCAGCAAGAGTACCTCCTTCGAGTTCCTCCAAATGCAGCTCGGCCTTGGCTTGATTGAGCCCCCGCAAATTGGCTTGCAGATCTCACCGGGCACTATGATCATTCTCTGAAACTGACAGAGAGAGAGAGAGGGAGTACCCAGAACCTGATATGAGACTTATAAAGTCGTAGCACATGGCGTTCCTTTGGCAATTGCTTTCAACCTGTTGGGAATTGAGATCCCCGGCAACTAGCGAAGCACTTACCTTTCACTAGCTGACTACCAGGCCATATAACCCAAGTCTCACTTGGCCATGCACCCAAAGTTGATTGCTGCCAGTAAGATGAACAAGGACAATATCCGGCAAACCACCCAGTATTTGGATGCTGTAGCAAGCTTCTTATATAGAGCCCAGCGGGTCTCAGTTACCACCACAGCAGATCACCAACCATTCTTCTTTGGGTTTTCAAAGGGTGGTTTCCTTGGTGACCTCTTCCACAGGGACATTCTGACTCACTGGGGAAGGCGTGGCTTGGGCCTCAGCCTCAGCCTTCCGAGGGACCGCTTCGGCGCGCCGCCGCCGACCTTTGAGGGCGACTACCAGGCGAAGAAGAGCCCTTGGGTCCTGGCTGGCGTTTGTTTCCTGAGCCAGCGGCCAGATAAGTCTGTTTCTTGCCCATTTAACTCACTTCCTGAGTTCATGAACTTTAAACTTTTGGTGAAGACCATTTTAGTGGCAAATATAAAGTTTGGACTTTTTTTTGGCCATCCACTCAGCAGGTGAGTTAAGGAGTGTAGTACAATTGCCCCTTTCCAGGAGAGGGTCAACAACAGGCCTTTAGAGGGCATTTAATTCAGGAGTAGGTGAAGGGGGTATGTGCAAACAGCCAAGGAGGGGACACTAAAGGGGTTCTCGTAGAGGTTTCCAACGACGGACAATCATGCGCAGCATCCGAATGGAACTCATTTGCTAGAATCCAATCAGGGTCACCCCAGTTTGAGCCTTCCCCAACCACCACCACTAGGGAACAGGGAATGGAGATATTCGTTGTTTGATCTCGCATTGTCCAAAGCCACATACCCATGAAAACCCAGCGGTGCCAGTGCTCAGTCATAGTTTCAAACTGCGGGTCTTGTTGTTTCGCGGCTCTGTGGTTGCAACTTAAAGATGTTCACCTTGGCAGCAGGGCTCCTTAAAAGATACATGTTTCCTATTTGAATCATGTTCTTTTCCGCTAAAATAAAGGGAATCCACCATTTACAAGACAATGTTCAGATGTATAATGTAAGGATCCCTGCTTGGGTATGGCTTTAGCTTTGTATTGGCTTGGTATTGGTTGATCATCGCTATAAAGACATATACAGATGTATATATTAGAACGATAACTACATAGAATACATTAAACCACGAAACACACATGAATGAAAACCAAATAGATAGACACGTACACGGCATTAGTATGATATACATATAATGCAATACTCGTTGTATTTTTAATGTTCCATTTTAGATAGATTCTTAGATACAGACGTAAATAGCAAGACAAAGACAGAGCAGCCTCAATAGGGAGAAGTGACCCCTTCTACCTGCCCAACTTACACGGAGCTTATCACCCACCCGGGATGAAGATCCCTTGCTTAGCTTTGGGAACTTAGCATTTCGTGCAGAATACCATGGAAAGACGAGGGGGCAAGTGTGCACCATGCCCTACGGAAAGGGTTGTGACTGCCCAGAGTGAGATCTACACTCCCACCGTTCAGGCAAAGGCTCAGGAGAGCCACGGGGTGATCAGCTTGATGAACACCCTCGAGGCGCAACTTGCGAGTGGACGCCCTTCTCACTCCATGAGCCTGGACTAGAAGCTTTTTGGGGAGACCATGTAGCCCGGAAACCGTTCAGGCTTTGTTTGCCGCATCCACTGGGGGAGTGAGCCTTGCGTGCTTGGCGCCCCTCCATAAATGAACGGAACGCACCTTCAAAGCGGTGGCTGTACCCAAACAACCCATTCCGCTCCGATTAGATGGATATCTTGTTTGGTTCTATGTTAATCTGTGAGGGAGTATGTGTATCTGTGTGTTTGCGTTGTGATTTCATTCGGGGGCTGTAGAACACGGCTGGCACGACAATGGTTGGGATGTCCTTGTGTTGTGCCAAGTGCTGCAGATAAGCTTTGACGGCCTTCCTTGCAGATGTGGCACATGCTCCACTGTTGGGTTGGTCAGCCGTGAAGTACTGTGGATGGACGAAATCCTGCACCACTTTGAAACCATGGGAAACTATTGTTTGTTGGTATTTATAGGGGAATCATCATTCCAGGCTTTGTTTGGTGGTGCAGGATTTCGTCCATCCACAGCATTACTCAACTGTTGACCACTTGGAAGGACCTGCCACATTTCCGACGCAGATTTCTAGACAGGCGGACAAATCCGTCATTGAAAGAGAACCGCACCAAGGCAACCTGTAGGCTTGTGAGGTGATTTATTCCTTGTGAAGCCAGGTCATTTATTTCCATTTCCACACTTAGCTTGCCTGTTTAACTTTGTTTCTTTGCTTGATTTCCTCTTTCATCCAACAACGAGTTCGCTTGGTGCAGGGGTCTAAGTCTGTGTTTGCAGCCAAAAAATGAGCCATGCACAATAGTGGGCGGGCATATACCCTCCCTCCAATTGTGGCAGGGTGAGAGGAGGCTTTTGGAATACCGCTTTCCTTTGGAGCCTTTGGGGGGCTCACTTGCCAGTTTCTGGACGCCATACTTTGGTTGAATCCACCAATGAGTGCCATGTTTGGGCCGATCCCAGGAGGTGGGGGAAGCCCCTGCCCACTTTCATGTTGGAAAGAGGGCGGAGGCCACCCCACCCCCCAACCCCCCCCCCCATTTTTATTTTGTTTGGTTTTCAGGTATCCCAGCATGAGGTAACTTGGTTGGCAGGTATCTCACAACTCCATTCTACGCATTTGGGTTTGTTATTTTGAGGGAGCCCTTTTTGTTTTGAGGGGTTTTAAAGAGACACCCAAAGGAAGACCCCACCTATTTTGGGGTTCCGATTCCTATTTCAGAGTAGCCCCGGGCTTTCGAGGGCGACATCAAGCAAGAGATGGCCCTGGCCAAGAGTGAGGAGGCCAACTCCCAGAAGGAGTACGAGGACCCAGCTCCCGCCCCGTCAGCTGAAATGTTTTGATTGCTGGTTGGAAAATGCGCATACCACCGACTTAGAAGTGACCAATTCATTTTGACCAAGAGGACCAAGGAATTTGGACAAGAGGTGACCAAGGAATGTGGACCTAGAACTATTCAACCTCTGATCAATAGAGAGTGACCCAATTACAGAGGGAACATGTTGTTTTGGGACGGGGGCATCATAACATGTGACAGTTCCAGGCTATTGGACTTAAAGTTTGAGAGTCAGCAAGGGACCAACGAAGATGTGCTTCAAGATTCGCTGAATATGGTCCAGAAGGTCCAGATGGTGGGGGGGGACATGAGGTAGAAAAGAGGTTGTTTTTCGTGCTTGGGGGTTGGTCTACATGGAGTTCAAAGGGAAACCCCACCAATCAAAGGTTCCAGAGTTGCACCCTTAAGGTCATAGACTCCCCCCAAAGAAATGAGTCTCTCTTTTTTGAACCCCTGGTTCTTGTAGACGGCAAATGGGAAACCACCCCCCAACCTCCAAACCGCCAAGCGAAACCAAACAGCTAGAGGCAGAGGGAAGCTGATGTTATATGCTGCATTCAGTACGACCTTAGTGGTACGACTCTGGGGCCCTTGATTGAACCTTCAACAAGTTGGATGTTTGCTCATAAGTTACGGGAGGACCAGCTCAGTCATGTTTGAAGAGCTGGGGCCTAAAGAACCCGCTCAATTCAACTTCCAGGAGACGCTGGGAGATGCTGCCAGCAAACGGGAGGCGCGGCCTGTTTCGTCGAACTCGTAAGGCAGAGGGCCGTCCAAGGAAAGTAGCTGGGAACCCTACTCTGAGTAAAGTGTCCTGAAGTGTTTTCTGGGTTGGCTGCAGCATTCTGCCTGTTTCGACAATGCTGATCTTGCGAACTCTTGATTAACTAGACCGGTTTCGGTCGTTTTTGGTTCATCAAGGTTCCGAAAGATATTTCCGGGTATATGTGCGACTGGCATTATTGTTACAGTTCTGGGGGTTGTTTCATTTTCCTGAAATATTTTTCCCTAAGGGTCAACAGCCTTTCAAGCCCTGTGTCCGCAGGCAGACCTTTCCTTGGCAGCTGAGAAGGCCAAGAACAAGGCCCTCTGCGCGAATGAGGGCCGTTCTCGGGTTTCAGCATTTGCCCGTTCTCAGGTTACCCTCGAACTGTTTCTCAGGTTGGTTACCCTTTATTTGGATTTAATCGGTGCGTTTCCTAGCCACCAGCCGAAACCACCAACGAAGCTGACGTCGAAGTCAGGTGTTTTGCGGGATCTGAGGGTCTTCGCGTCGGGATTCGGAGCCATAAGGGCAGCCTATGTGGTCCATTCACTTTTTGAGGGCTTACGGGTCCTGATGGAATTTGTGGCTTGTTTCGTTTGAGGGCACCCGGTTGTGTCTTTGCTTAAAGGGAAACCTCCGAAAATCGCCATTTTGTGGGTTGGCGACCCTTGCAGCCCCGCAATGGATCCTTTGAGCGAGCTGAGTGTCGAAAGCCGAGGCTGACCTGGAGGTGGACCTGGAGGAGGACAAGACGGAGTCCGCAGGAGACGAACTGACAACCCAGAAAGTGCTACCCTCCCACCAAGTAACACATGGAACCGTTCGACGTTTGGGGGGGCGGGCTGGTTTGGACGTCCCTGTCAGGTTTCATGTGAATTGGTGGGAGGGTATTTGCTGGGTAGCCTATGATGAAACGTCTGAGCATAGCTAAACCCTCTTATGTGAGGTCCTGGCATAGAGCGGTGGATTCTGATTTCCAGCGTGAAAGGCAAGAAGAAGGAGGCGACAGCTACGAAGGAGTTCGCCATGAACTTGCACAAGGACTTCGTGTTCGATTCGTCGATGCTTTCGGTTTGTGTTGGTCCGCTTGCGGGGATCCTCAAGGCCTGAAAGACTGTGACCAAAGATTTTGCCTCAGGGTGGGTCTCTGGGGTTGTTTGTAGGGTCGCTTCGGTTTGGCCCTGAGCATCGCTGCATGTTGCAAGCATGCTACGTTGCATGAAATGTATTTAATACATTTTGCCCTGGCAAGTCATGTTGTAACGATAATTTCACCAAACTTCTCGGGAAGGAAAGCTTCAAGTTGCATTGCCTGATGTGAGTCTGGAGAAAAGTCCGTCCCATAAAGAAAATCTGGCAAACCTTCTGGCTTCCATTGGTTTCTAGTTGAAAGTGAATGAGACTTTGAGCAGGGTGGGAATTTGCCGGGGTAGGCCGGAAAGGATTCACGCCGGTTGCCAGGAACTCGCAGTTGGAACAGTGACTTAGAAAGGGTATTGGAAACCAACCTGACTCGTCGACCAAGCTTGGACACTTGCAACCACTGCAACCAACACGAGTTGAAAGTTTCAAGCCGCGAGGAGTGTGTGGTCAACTTGGCAGACACATTGGAGTTCACAAGTTGCTTGCACACTTACTAATGAACAGTGAGCGTGAAGGAAGACAAAAAAGCACAAGCTACTTGCCAGGGCCCTACCCATATACTCAAATGCGGGACTGTTTCATCAATTGTGGGTGCCGTTGCGTTCATTTTTGTTGTCTCCTAGGCTTGGCATGTTCCCATACTCCCTACTATGGCAACGTACACCAGCCTCATTATGCACTTATATTTGTCAGCAAATCAGTATCTAATTGCAGTTTTCCCTGATCGCCTTCGGGGTTTGGGTGCAGTTGTGACCAAGCACAATGCAGACACTCGGGCAAAGTCAAATTTGTCCCCCAGATGGGAAACCGCTTCCTAGCCACCAACCAAAACCACCGATTAGGGGGGAGCTAAAGCTCCTTGTTCTTCCAGCAGGACCCTTTCAAAGACATGATGGGATTGTCCACCACTCTGGAGGCTCCGACTCTTGAGACTCATAGGAGTGCGACTGGCTGCTCGAGAACTTCGACCTGCGAAAGCAGGCCCGGTCGGTCCTCCAAAAAAAGTTCCGGGCGTTGGGGGAGAGAGGGCCTGCGTTGAAGACGGTGGGGGGGGGGGGTAGGGCAGGATCCTGTGACATGTACGTGCCGCTCCAAATATGGTTTCAATCTCCTCAAACAGCGGTCACCTTGGACTTAGAAGTATGTTGGGGGATGGTCGCCACTTGACCACGGAGGGAGAGCGGGTCACACGCAACGGTTGTAAGTTGAAATCAGGGACGCCTCAACTTGGTTCTGATTTCCCTTGGGGGTGCTGATGGAATTCTAGAAAACAATTTCATTCTGACACCCCGAAAAAGCAATTCCTTTGGTACAGAGATCCTCCATGCGTGGGTGTGCGTGTGGGGTGGGGGGAGGGCAAGCGTTAGAACGCAGCATCCTCACTTCCCAAGTGTCGGATTTGTTTACTTTTCGTCGAGACCATTTCGGTGGTAGACTAACATAGTCTTGTTCGGCCACTCCACTCAGGAAGCGATTGTTGCTCTTTTTCCGCTGGGTTGAGGCAAGCCATGCAATGCATATGCTACACAAGAATACACAAGAGCCCTACTTCTACCAGAGTGTTTTTTTACAGTTTCGTCCTGGTTAGTCGGGGGGGGTGCTGGAATCCCAAATGAGTGCTGTAGCAGTCAGTTCTCCTTTGAGGGAACCGTGGCGACACTGCCATCAGATCACTTTCACTTCTTGAAAAGAAGCAGCCCCTGCAGTTTGGCTCCTGGACTCACGGAAGAAGCTTTGACAAAGCTAGAGGCCCCTCAAAACCCATGGGAACACGTGCTTGCATTGTCACTTTTACCAAGGGATCCCCTGTATAACAAAGTGGACACACTAAGGGGATGGCCGCAAAACATGCTGTTTCCCACGCCTTTTCAAGCGATAGCGGGTGTCCAGGCGCGCGGGGACGAGAAGGAGAACCTCATTCGTGCCAAGACGGTGCTGTCGGGCATGTCACTCGACAGGACACACCTCCCAAACGTCCCTGAAGCCAGTTGAAGCATTACTTGGACCAATGTTGGCGGATGCTCCTGCTGAGACGTTTTCCTTTAATTGTTTTGCGGGGAAATGCAGGAAGACCTGTTCTACCCAGCCCACCCCTTTGTTTCCCTTATATTAAGCCCTAATTAGGCCAATCAATCTTGCGGATCAATCATGGGTGTGCTTCCTCCAAATGAATTTCCATTGCGCCCCCTCCCCTTGACCAACAAGGGTTTCAATAGTCCGAATGCTTTGTTTACCACAAAAGTGATCTTTGCACGCGGGGAGAATCCTATCAAGGAAGAGAAAAGTGCTGACCGTGCCTGATGCTTTGATATCAGCGACAGGGCATACTTATGTTGGGTGCTTTTGTTACGTTGTCCGCCCTTTCCAGCGCAGCATGACTGCAGACTGACAGGTTGCTTCAATTGGCCGACATTTCCCAGTTTGGGTGCGTTTAATACCCGCAGATAAATGAAAAGACGAATCATCTTAGGAATGTCTGCAGGAAGTTAACAGCATATTGTGCAGATACCGGAGCTTTGGTAAACTTCCTGTGGAGCTTCCTGGAGGTTTCCCAGAGAATGGAAGGCTGAGACAGGTCTGCTTTGCCACCGCTCCCAGGTAAGCGCTGCGCCATCGATTCATTTAGCTCTTAGCTGTGATTCACTGGCGCTTGCGCTGGAAAAGCAAAGCAAAGCGGCGAAGAGCATCGGAGGGCATCGGCTGCCTGGTTTCTCTGGGACGATGTGTAGGTCTGACCCCAATGGGCAAGGAAGGTGTTGCCTTGGCGCGGACGGGTTTTAGGGCTGCTCTTTGGCTGCGCGAGGGTGGGTTTTTGGCTTTCAGGGTTATATAGTTTGGTGTAGGATAGATTTGCGCTGAATTGGGCTTTGCGGAAGAGTGTTGTAGTCGTCTACCCCAAATCCGGCCAATAGACGTTTAGCTCCCTTGTCGCAACCTTCAAATTCAATAGGGTATCAGTATCACCAAGTAACATCTCTAGGGGAGCCCTTGTTGGATGTTGTTCAAAGGAGCACCCAAAGAACAGATGCGTTTCAGGGTTCCTGCCATGCTTGCGTGCCATTTGTGTGAGTGCTTTTGTTCTTGAGGTTCCTTTGTCTTCACAGGAAGGGGAGCGTCCTACTTTCATCTTCCCCCATTTTTGCTTGGCAACCTCCGGCCACTAGGAAGTGGCTCTGCGTGATTTTTCACTGGACACCGCAAGACGACCGCCTCCTCGGGATCCTTCTAGTTGCTGAATATTTGTTATGTTCCCCTGTTGGTGTTAAAGGGAATCTATCGCTGATTGTTTTCTTCCTGGAAACTTATAAGCAAATGGAGGGATCCCCTACGGTCCACCAGAAAACCCAGCGTCAGCGTTTTCGCAGGTCCTGCAGGAAGACGCTGCGACGATTCAGCAGCTGCGGGCGTCGCCTTCAGCGGTGCTTCTGTGTGCCGCGCCAAGCCACTTGAAGCGCTGCCTGGAGCACGTGAGGGCCATCTCACTCCCTGAGTCGCACTTTCAGGGAAGATCATTTTGGTGGTAAACAACAGCGCTGAAGTCCTTTCCAGAGCTTAAGGCCGGTTGCAAGGACTCTCAGGCATTCGAGTAAAGGTATGAACGCACGGATTGCTACCATGATCATGCAAGCTAGGACCTGTTTGACAGAATCCATTTTCTTCCATTTGCTTAATATGTTTTGTTTTAAAGGAACTTATCACTAGTGGGCATATTTGTTTCCAGGGGTCTTAAGCGGACAAGACAGCCAGGTCAGTGGTTGCGCCAAAGGTGTCCAGGTCCTTCGAAAACAAAGTCGGACGTGCGACCGCCGGCCAGCTTAAGGACAAGATGACACAAGTCAGACCTGGGCAAATTGAGGTGACAGACACAATCGTTCAGCGCATTCCACCTGCTTGTCCCTTTATGTTTTGCGGCTTCCCCAGTCAAGCCCAAACAGGGTTTCATGTTTAACACCTTTTGGGCCACAGACAACCTGAAACAAGGTGATTTGGTGTGTGAATTGGTTTACCCATGATGCATGTTTTTCTCACTCGTGGGTTCTTTGTTTTAAGGCTGGTGAATTGTTATAGTTCACCAAGGCACAGCATGCTGTAAACCGTCCCATGCTCGCATCAAGCGAGTACGAATTTGCGCCACGTGAACCTCAAGCAACAAGGCATCTCCGGCCCAACAATAACACAAGCAGGCAAACATTGAACACAGGTTTCCAAGTTTGCCGCAGCATCAACCTTGTCTAATCTGATGCCGCTTGCGAAAGGCGTGGCCGGCCTTGTGTTGCAGAATTGAATCAGCTTTAGCCACATCAGCCAACCGAATATGAATGAAGGGTCAAGCACAGCGACAGCCTTAAACGCCCCAAGCCAAAGAGCTGCCTCAAACCCACAGACCGAACACAAAGAGCAAACAAGACGTCCCTCATTCGTCGGGGTTCGTTCGTCGCCATGGGCTCTGAGTGCGTGGTATCTCGGCCTGAAGCGGCGCTCAAGGACGGTTCATCGGATCCCGGGTTTAGTTTACCACAGCCCGGCAGCGGCACTGTTTTTGTTTCTTTGTTTGGCTAGAGGCGTTCCTTTAACATCAACAAATCAAACAAGGTGCCATTTTGCTCCCATGGCTGGGCGAAAACTGGCCCAGTAAGAATACTTCTTTCTCCTTGTTTGGTTCCTGATTAGCCACTTCAACAGGTCTTGGACAAACCTCATTGGCCCTTGCCAATGAAGGAAAGGCAGCAAGCAATGCGCAAGACATGAGCTCTGGACAAAATTGTTGGTAGCCCACTGCTTTTTTTCCCAACAGCTGGAAGCTTTGGGGTTCTTGGCCAAACAAGCTCTGGGGTAGTTTGGACCAGCTCCAAGGAGGGTTCGGGGGTTGCAGGGCTGTTGGGATACCACCTGGGCTTAGCTACCAATTTTGCCAACTTATTTTGTCCTGTCCAGAGCTCATATTTGGGTCTGTTTGCTTTTGAGGGTACTTTTTTTTTGTTGGTTTATATCTGCCGCACGCCCAGGAAGCCTCGCCTTTGGAGCTGGCAGCCGTGTGGGTGCACAAGGCACGAAAAACAGAGCGAATGGAGAGCCGGCTGGAAAAGTTCACCCGGATCCAATTTGGGGCGTCGTTTTTTTTTGGGGGGGTTCTGTTTCCCCCCCCCCCCCCCGGAGAATACCTCTTTTTTGTGGGTGTTAAAAGGGAAGCCAAAAGGACAGCCACCTATTTTGGCATCCAAAGCCAAAAAAAAAGGCACGCCACACCAAAGTACATGGGGGAAGACCTTATAGTAGATTACCTGGTCGTTTCTCTGGTTTGCAGATTTCATTTTCAATGCACCTGGTTCCATGCTCGATTTTTGGGGGCCCTTTGAAGGGAGAGTCTTCTGATATTTCCTTCAGCTTCCAAATGCGCGGCCTGATGCAAGGCGTCTTGCTGAACCTCCCATTTTTTCAGGATCCAACCCCGTTTCCTTTCGTTCGGACTGGTTTGGGCCATTTTAGTGACAAACAAACAGTTATTAAACAATTGCTGTTTTTTTGCCAATCCACTCAGGAAGTGAGCTTTGGAGACATGAAATCAGCCCAAATTCTGCACCTAGACCCCTCTTTTGTGTGTTTGCTCGGCTCGCTTTCTTCTTGTCGTGTTCCCATCCCGGTGGGCCTAGGCCTCCAAAGGCAGCAGCCAATGGGTCACCAGCTGCCCCGCCTGGCAGCTGGAGGTCTACAGGTTCCGGAAGTCCCTCGACCCAAGCGAGCGCTGCGGATCCGGGGAACCACCAAAAAAAATGCGCGAGCACCCCTACGATGGAAAGGTGCTTGGCATTGGACCCCTTACTTGTCCAAGCCTTTAGGGCACCGCATTGGCCGCTTGGTGGCCAATTCAGGAAAGGTGCTACTACGTGATGTTACCTCTGAGCCTGCGCCCCGAATAGAAACACCCACACTCATAATTTGTGCATGAATATGACATATGTATATATATATATATACATAATGTATTGTGTATATATATATGTATACATATGTATGAAATATATGTATATATGTATATGCAAATGTGTATGGAGTAGTTTGGTTCTCCCCAGTTTAAAGGTACAGGATAGTATACATGTGTAAAAGCATGTAGTCATCTTTGTCGCATCAACTTGTCCTAGCTCGGCCCTAGGGCAAAAGAACTTTGGGAGTGTGTGGGTCATGTTTGGGTCCGCTTTGGCTTTGAGTCGGGGGTGTAGAAGTTATATGAACAGTATTTCTCCCTTAGATGTATAATGGGAACCGAGGATCAACAGAACCCTGGCTGACTACTAGGGGCTTGTCCCCTTTTAGTGGGAGTCATTTACTCTTGGAGAGACACCCCCCCTATTAACAGGACGGGATTCTTAATCTGGGATTAACATCACACAATGAAACCGGCCTGAACATGCCCTTCGTATGTGCCATACGGCTGGCCAGGGGTTGTTCGTGAGCTTCCTAGTTGGGAACGCCTTGCTGCAATGGATCCCTAAATGTCAATGGCAGTCAACCAGTAAGAAACTAGTGTATGTATGAATATGTATATACACACATACATAGAGACGCCATGAAGAAACAGGGAATGCAAGTTCAGAGGATTCAGGGTTTATTTGTATGGGGAACAAGAGGTAAATAGCTCGTTTGGGGAGCTTCCACCCCCCCCCACCCCAATGGAGTCTCTAGGTGGTCCTTGACTCAGGCTCAGGTGGAAGCCAGAGGTGGAGGCTTCTTTGAATATATGGATGGGGGTATGTGACTTGGTGCCATCTTATCTTAGACCCGGCTAGAACCAGGCTCAGCCATTACATTGTTCTGAAAATGACCCTCAAAATGGTTCAACAGGAATCCAGGTCCCAAAAGAAAGGAGAACGAGGGTCTTCCCTACCCTAAACCCACTGGCTTTGAGGCGTCTGAAGCCGGTGCGGGTGCTGGTAAAATTCGCCTTCCTCTCCCTCGCAATGTTCGAGGTGCGAAGGGAATCTCTTTGCCAAAGGGAAGCCAACTTCGGATTCGATTCGATTCTTATTCTGAAAATTGTCGAGGCCGCCTATTTACCCACTTAATATTCAGAAGGTGTGAACCACTCAAAAGTGAGTGGTAAACCCACAGTTTCGACGATTCTGCCAAGTCCGCGAAGTGAACATTGGGTGTTGTTTTTAAACCGAACCCTATTTTTGGGGTAGGTTTCCTTTTGGATTCCCTTAAAACATTTAGAAAGGAGAAACACAAAACGACCGCTATTTTGGGTTTCCCGTAAATCTTGCACAAACAGGGTACCAAACAAACAAATAGCGCCCCCAAGTAGGCCGTCCCTCGTTTTATAGGAGCCGCTGTGGCGGCAGCGGTGTCCGGACTGCCCCGCCTCTGCCAGCTGGCATTTGCCGCGGCTCTCCTGGAAGGCGCGCCGAAAAGTTTCGATGGCTGTCGGTTTGAGGAAGACTTCCGTTTGCTGAAAATAGTATTTGTATTTCCCCTCTTGGTTTTCAAGGGAGTCTATCACTGCTGGACATAGTTTTTTGTTTGGGTCAACCTCCCCAGAAGTGGCTCCCCTTTTTGACTCATTGTTTTTGTTGGGGTCTTGTTTGTTTTCCACTAACCAGGCAAAAACTATTTTTTGCTGGGGTCCTAGTTCCAGCCAAGTGAAAGGGCGGCTCTGAAAAATGAAGGCTGTCTGCAAATATTACACTTCTATTGTCAAGCCGAAGGCATTGGATCCCCACGGCCAATAATTCCACAAAAGGTCCATGGCAAATGCATGGCTGGTAGGTGAGCTGCCTTATAGGCAGACCAAACAGTCAAGCCTTCAGGTTGTTGAAATGGGCTGAGTTTGGACTCGCCCCAAACTCGCTTCAAACCGCTGGGTGTGTCGTAGGTCTGGAAAGACATACAACTTTCGGTGCTTTCCCTCGAAGCCCTTCTTGCTTGATGGTTTCGGGGCGCGCTGAGAATGCCTTTCTGGTCACTGGGCAACCCAGAAGTACCGACATTTGGCCTCTCCCGGCTTCGCATGAGGTGACGTGCCATCTTTGGACTGACGGGACAGACAAGTCATTGTTTTCTATGTATCATGTCTCCAAGTGTTCCGACTGCATAAACACATGTCACACTGAAAACAAACCTGGGTTCATGTTTTGTCAGTCTTGTTCATTGTCGCGTGGGGGCTGCAAGTAACATTGTGCTGACATGACAAGGGCCAAGGTAATGATTTTAGCAATCCCCCAGCCCATAACTCCCTGTGCTAAATATGAGTTTTCTTCATGCCCTATGAGAAAGGGTTCCAGATGGGGGGGATGCATCATGTCTTGTTCCGATCCGCTTTTTTCACTGCACAAGCTATGACGAACTTGTTCAAAGGTCAAACAGTTTGGGCTTGCGGCCAGTTCTTCACTGGGTTCCTTTTTTCCAGTTGTGAGCAGTTAGCAACTAGCAATCGGCCAGCCGCAAACCATGAACCCATACAGATCCTGACCAGCCAGTGCGGGGTCAAGCGGGGATTTGCCATGAAGGTTCTTTTTGGATTGCTTAATTAAGTCCAGTTGGTGAAGTATGGGCGTGCCTTTAAAGTTAGTCAATGTTGGTCACCCACAAAAACGGATGCTTGCCTTTTGGTTTCCCTCAATCCACTCCAAAAGAGGTATCTTCAACAAAAGACGTGCCGCCCTAAAAGGTCACTTCTCCAGATGGGATTCCCAGGACGGATCTAACTTTTGGGCTACTCTACTGGGCTCGACTAAGGAAGGCGAACTAGTCCATCCCAGTACCACACCCGGTTGACCCACCTTCGCCCGGCCGCCCCGCAGATCTTACAAGAACCCATAGGAGCCCCATGAATCGCACGGATAGGGGGAAGCCTCAGACGCATAGATTGCTCTGACCATCACTTTCAGGGTTGGTCTTTTGCGCAATTATTGGATCTCTTTGAGGTTGGTTCATGTTTAGTGGAGCTGCAGGGAATTCGAATTTGCCTTGCTTCCAGTTTTGAACGCGATTGAAACAGTTCAGCCAAGTCGGCCACGATGCCATGAGAAAAGTGCTCTAACCCTGGTGTTGTGGTCTAACAAGTCAGGGAGTTGGGCAAACAGGGGCCAATCCTGGAAATTCATCCAAACACCGGAAAACCACCATCCCTACCCCTTTACAAATTGAATAGCCCGCTGGAATTCCATTAATGGTTCCATTTTCCCTTTTTGTGAGAAGCCTCGCTCGGGAACTGGATCTGTGGAATTCGGGACCATATCCCCCCCCCCAGAAGGTAGAGGGGACATCATGATTGTTGTTGGGAAACATTTTACAGTTTTGCTTATTGTGGTTTAGTGGTTGAAATCCAACCACTTATAACTGCTGAAATCTATAAATTGTTGCTCCCCTGCCAACGGCAACCAAGACATCCCGAGGTCTCGAACACCTGCGAGATTTGTTTTCTGCTGTCCTTCCTCTACAGCTTTTGGCTCCGTGAGCGATCCCTCGGAGCGGGGAGCGCACTCGAGCACTCGGCGCGTCGAGTCGGGAAAGCACATTTTTTGCCATGATCCTACTCGGGTGTTCGACCGACGTCTGGTAAGGAGCTGTTAGAACCATGGTGATAAGTTACTGGTGTAACTGGGGTTAGCCTTCTTATAATTAACCAACTGGATAAGTTGGCTGAGAACCCAAGTATAGGTGCCCGAAGCAAATCGATATGATGCTAGTGTTGTATTTGTTCGGTCTTGGCCTACCGCAGCTAAGGCTTCAAACGAAAGATGAACCTTCGTATTCAGGTGCTTTGGCCAAGAAAGGTTAGTTCCACTTGTGTGGCAAGTAGTATGGAACCCAATGCGGGCATCGAATCCTTTGGCCATTGTGATTTACCTTGTTTCCAGACTCGCCCTACCTCACCAGGTCATAATGAATTTAGCCGTGCCCAGCCCCAAAGCAAACAGACGCTGAAATACTCATACTGGGTACAAGGTGCATATAACCGAAGGCAACTCCCATTCCAGGCACTTGACAAGGCCTGAGTCTTTGTGGAGAGGGGGTGGGTGGATTGGGCTGTCGTTTCCAAACTGGGGGCTGCCCTTTAAGGGACGAACGGGTTGATCCCCTATCAGTTGGTCACAAACTTAGGTGGGGTGCATCTCCCCGCAGGAGATTCCTGTCTAAAACTGGAGCTATAAGCCAAAAACAGCACTAACCACAAGTAATCCAGTAAAATCAACTAAGCACAAGGCAAGAACAAGGCAAGTCCACCAAAAACTGGAGAGTAGGACCAACTAGCCACAAGTAAACCAGCAACCAAACAACACAACAAACAGCGAAGTAGGGGTCAACTCAGCGCCCATAGGTGTCCTTTTTGGTTGGTTTGCTTAAAAAATAGAGGGCGATTCCTGGTTTAGATGGTTGGTTTATGATATTTATGCGCCATTTACCAGGGAAACCCCTCGATTTTTCAGCAACAGGCCACCAATGTCAGCGCCTTTTTAGCTCCCAGGAGCTGGCAGCCGGCGTCGGTCCTGGCACAAGATCCGGGAGGCCCGTTTGACGCGTTTGAGCTTTTGCGGCTGACGCGTTTCGAAGGTGCAACTTAAGGTTAACCCCTGATTAGCTTTTTAGATCCTTTTAGTGTTTAGAATGGTAGGTTTCCATTTAACCCACTGAAAGTTAAGCTTTTATCCTAATGAATGTTAACCCCGGATTAATAAATCCCTGGTTGATTCATAGGGGGGTGAATCCCTTTTTAGTTGTTGGATTCAGACCACTTTTGGAGGGAACGCCCCCCGAGGGTTTATTAATCCTGGGTCAACATTAAAAGAAGTCACCGGCTGCTTTATGCGGGTAAGATGCCACTTAAAGAAGTGGCCGCATGCTCTAACTATGTGGGTTGTGTTGGGGTGACGTGCTTGGCGTTCACACTTGAATTCGTTTGGTGGGTTTCGAGGCCATGGTTTGCTGGGAAGCGTGAGAGAAGCGCTTCGGAGTCTATCCCTCGACTCTTTTCTGGCACCAGTTTCCCCTTTGTGTTCCAATTGGTCCCCAAAAACCTGTGGGGAATTGAGCTCCACATTTGCGCGTAGATGGCTCACTGGCCTCAACTGTTCAAACCCAGTCTCTCCTGGAGGGTACCCGTGACCTCCAAATGTCTCGAAAAAGGAATAAAAAGGAACCATACTGTGGATCACCAAAGAAAGCCCTGGAATGATGGCTTCGCTTGCAAATACCAACAAAGAATGGCTTCCCATGGTTTCCACGTGGTGCAGAATTTTGTCCATGCACTGTATGGTCTTATGCCTTCCGCAGCAGGGGGGCTCAACTCGAACGGCACTCGTTGCCACGGTTTCGTCCGAAACCGCGGAGATCTGCGATATGGTGAACCCGCACCTTGGCCTTTTTGTTGGCGCATTGTTTTGTTTCATGTCGGAACCCCCTAAAAGAGAGTGAAGGCAAGCCAAAGGGAAACTCACCAAATCGAGGTTCCTTTTTTTTTGACAATCCTGATTTGGGATCTTTTGCTCAGCTGAAAGCTTTCTCTGACATAGGCTCTGGAGTTCTTCGGAGTGGCTCGTTTTCGGGGTTGCTGTTGGGGATGCCACCTGGGTGTTGTGGCTGGTTCTCAGCCGGGAAGGAGGGAATGATAAACCATCCCCTACGGTTTCCCTAAAGGGAATCTGGTTGATTCCCAAAACCTTAGGTCATTCCCTACTGAGCACCACCAAGTTTTTTTGGAAGCGAGCAATAAGTCAAAGACTACGTAGTATCACTCTGCCAATCGCGAAACCAGTAGCCGAGGTACATCGCAGGGATTGCCACAGGCATCGGCCTGCTCACGGACAAGTATATGCAGCTCGGCTCGAGTAAATCAGGACGAAGTAAATCAGGGGCATATGGCTCAAACACGGCATATATGCGTCTAATATCTCCGACTTGGGGTTGGGGGGTGTGTCTACTTGGGAGGCGAGGGCGTTGGCTAAATGGTTAGCAAGGGTTTACAAGTGAGTTGACTGGAAGTTTCTTGGGGCTTGCCAACGACTTCCATAGCTCCCAGACCAAGTGGAACAGCTTAACACACGTGCACAACAACGGTTCTCCCTGACGTTAAACCAAAAAGGCCGTATGCTCGCATACTGAGTCAGAGCCATGAGGGGAGCCATTTCAGCGGTTTTGTCAGGGGTTGCTAGTGACTACCCTCCCACGAATTTAACATGGAACCTGACAGGGGGGGTCCTGGTTCGGACCTTTTTCGTACGGCATCCCTGTCACGTTCCGTGAAACGGTGGGAGGGCACTAGGGGCCATGCATGAAGCGCCATAGCTCCCGCATGGGCGTTGCCCGCGCAAGCCGAAGGCTTGGGGCGACCAACTTTGTGGAGCACTATGCGGACGGGTTTCACGGGGCACGTGAAAAGGGAGACGTGTTGGCTAAGGGCTCCTTGCACGTACTTCTGGGGCAGGTGCCCTTGATTATAACAAGTGTATATGTGCATACATATAGAAGTATATATGCACATATCTCTTGAATCAAATACTACAAACAGGGGCCCTTTTCCCTCATGGTCAGCGCTGAGGGGTGTTCACCAATTCTGCCAACATTTCGCGACCCGTTCTGCAGTCCACCATGCTCAAGCCCATTCTGACCTTCCTTCCAACCAATGGGACTCAGGGTGGGGTCAGACTGTCCTTGCCACCAATTCCCATTGTTCGTTTGGCCGGTCGCCTCAACGCGTAGGAGTTTCACGCCACGGACGCCCAGAAGGATTTCGTGAAGGCGGCGATGTATGGCGGCGCCATCTTGGGCATGGGCGCGCCTTTGCTGAACTCCTGGCCCCCCCGGCCCGCCCCAAGCCCCAAGCCACCTGGCCCGAGGAAAAAAAAACCGCGGCATACTCCCCCTGCAAACTAAGAAGCGCAGGGCAGTTTTTTGGGGTTCTGTTTTAACCTGGGGAGATATTCCCTTCAGAGTGGCCTTTAGAGTGGCTGCGTCTTCCATCCATCCCTTTGGGTAGCGAGTTAGGATCCGTGAGCAACAGCACGGCATCTTTGATGCCTTTTTTTGTTGGCAGGAGGTTCACCAGAGATCAACCAGAGAACCCAGTTGCAAACCAACAGAACCCACTCACTCCCTTGGTATGTGGTCTTCAAACTGGAAGACCATTTTATTGGTAAACAACAAGTTGGCCTTTCTTCATTGTGAGAAGTCAAGTTGCCCCAGCCTCGGAGTTAACCCTTACAAAGCAAGTACCCGAAGACGGCGTTCCTTTCTCACAGGTATGGGAAGATGTATCTCACTTGCGCCTTTGGCCCTCCTTTGGGTTATGGCAAGAAGCATGTGGGCAGGGTATATGCTCACCTCGCTCTCCTACGATGAAGGTTATTTACTTGGCACAAAGGCTGCAGCAAGATCACGGAAGCTACGCCATAAAGTCTTTAAAATGGCAAGGCATTCGGGCCACTGTCTCTTCGGCTCAGAGAATCTGGAGGTCACCTTTCCCCCCCTAATTCGTTTGCTCCAACTGGAGCGTTTCTTGCCTTCGACCCATCAGCTATTGCGGCGATTGCATGCTTCTACCTGGTTTTGCATGAGGTGAAAGGTCTTTGATCAATAAAATGCAAACGTCATAGCTTCACTTGCCCAAAGCGAATCGACCTTGTAACCTTTAACAATGATTGGGTTTTCCAATCGGCCCAATATTTTAGTCATGGCCCCAGGTTAAACTGTTTGGGTCCCTCAGGGGCCACCTTCATAGCCATATGGAGGTTGATCCAAAGGTCCTTTACATGGGATGACCATTGTGGCAGCCACTACAAAAAGACGTGTCCAACCAAATGGGAACTACCCATGGTCATTTGGGGGCCGAAGGGAATATTGATCAACCCCGACAAGATGGAAACCGCATCTTTGCCACTGAAATGATCTTCCCGAAATATATCACGTCCAGGCGCTCAAGAGTGCGACATGTATTGAACGCTTGTTAAAATGAACAAACACAAAAGCACCGAACACTGAAACACACGTGCTATGTGGGCACAAGTCACGCGAAGCACACACTCCTTTTGGCTTAGGTCATGGGGCCGCTCTCTGACCACATCGGCCGAAGGGCCGGCTTGTGCCGCAGCAGCAGCGAGCGTGGTTAGCTGTGCGTCGGGGTTTTGGCTTTGGCCTACCCCCGTTTTTTGACGTTCAGGAAACGGGGAATCAAGGTGGAGCCGGTTTTTGCAAGCTTTACTTGTACTGGTTTCCTTTTTCTCGGAGACCGCAACATGTAAAACTGGGGGCCTCGTTTGCTCGTTTGCCCTTGGGCGTCTCCGTCACGTCAGTCCAGGGCCCCCGCGTTTTGCCCTTTCTCGCTCTCCAAAAGGTTGTGGCAGGGAACGGAATCATTTTATCCTGCCCGAAACTTTATCAACTTCGATTTGGCGAAATGTTTGTTGCGGCGAAGCTTAACCCACCAGCCAGGGCATAAACAACCCACGACAAATAACGAGACCGTCATTGCCATTGCGACTCTTCCAAAGCCTTCGCCTAGGTGTTGGGGGCAGTTTTTTTGACAGCCTTGGCAGCCTTGGAGTGACTTTTGCTGTGAACGCATCCTATGGCCATGCCTTCGCATCCTATGGCCATGCCTTCACATCCATTATGGCCATGCCTTAACACCCATTTAATATATTTTCCTTGCTCAGCCTTACGCAGAGCGTTTTTGAGGCCCCCAAAATTCAATAAATCATCCATGATCATCCTTCATTTAGGTTTTTGCGGGGTCCTTATTTCACATCCAGATCGTACCCCCATTTGTTCGGTGGCCCCCTTTTGTTCCGACTAAAGCAGTGAAGCCCGAAAAGGGTCACCGGTTGCAAATAGATTGAGGCGGCCTTGTCGCACACTTTGTTCGGCAAGCCGAGGATTCTTTGTTCGCTGATTACCTTGATCGGCGCGCTTTTGAGCACCTTTGCTTGGGGTGAGAACGTGCTGATCGGGGCGCCTTGCCAGCCTCGGGTCGGGAATGTGGGCCGGTTTTGGGACTCAGGCATGGAAGCCACCTATAGATCCCAAAATGGTTGGTCGCGTTGGCCTACAACAGATTCTTTGAACAAGGTAGTTTCCCTCGAGCTCAATGTAGCTCTCAGATGGTGACTTTGAGAATGGCGATTGCGCGGAGCCTTTTGCACTTGTTGCACTTGTTGCTTTCCCAGTTTTCTGTTGACTATCTAGGCATCAGGGCGCTCAGCCATTTCGTGGTTGTGCCCTCGCGGCATTTTGAACCCAAAACTTGCAAAACAAAACTGGCCAGTTGGCGCGGTGGGTTTTGATTACCGACTTCACTGTTTGCCTGCTGGCCAAGTGAGCTGCACATGCATTTGGGATTGTTAGAGCGCATTTTGCATGTAGATTGCACTGGGGTGGCGCCCTCGCTCTCATCCCCCCCCTCGGGTGCATGGGCGAATTTGAACGAGGACCCTCCAAGCAAGGTTTCGCCACAATGTCCAGTAGGATTCCACGAATCCCCACGATCCGGCACGCTTTGTGTGATGGGTGTGTAG